TGGTCTTACAAATGAAATTTAAAATAGTTATGAATTTGTATTTTGTATTGTGAATTTTATTTATTTATGCTTTAGAGTCTGTCTTCCCCTGACCCCTCGCTCTGCACCTCATTACCACAAGTATGCTTCAGATCTGTGGGAAACACTTACTGTAATCTTTTTCTTCATTGTTTCAGCAGCTGCCCATTGGTTTCTATTATCAGTGTGTTTTGAGACAAGTTTTCTGTTCTCTTCCAACTACAGAGAAACATGTCAAAAATATTGTTAGGTAATCAACCATATGCTGCAGATGTGGCAGACAGAGATTAGGTTGAAAAATGCTTTAATATTAAGAAGACTTTGGCAAAAAATGCAAATCAGAATCATTATCGAGATTTTAACCCCTTTCTGCAGGCCCCCTAGTGGCCATTACAGATACTTTGAAATAATACGATCAAATAAAATATTTTTGATAACTCTGTTATCAGATCAACTAGGACACTGTTGCCTCTATGTCTGAAATGTTGTGACTGTATTGAGCTGCTAGTGAGCAAAGAGGAGTGAAAGATGATGGGAGAGAACCCCCTGCTGTGAAAACAATTCATAACTTTCCATTAAGGCAGCCATCCTGAGATGGACAGCAGCTTTCTTCACCTCAAAATTTGTGTATAACTGCCCCAAAATAAACTGCCCTGCAATAAAAAACACTTGTGTAACTGCTGACTTGCTTGCCCACCCACAAAGACAAAAATCCAGCTCACTTCCAGTTTTGTAAATCGTACTGCTTTACATCAAATTTCCATCCATTAACATAACTGAAGAAAAAAGCATGGTGCAAAAACTGAGGGCCCTTCAAAACAGGCAGGAATTAATTTCACGTCTACCGTGAAAAGAGGTTAAAGCTACAGTTAAGGATGGCAGTCTTAAAGTTCAGAGCAACTCAGAAATGGCAACTTGAACAAAGACAAAAAAAACAAGCAAACAAATATGATTGAGCTCAACTGTCGTCTTCAATCAGGGCTGTTATTCTCGAGCCCGATAAGGACAGAAATAACAGGGACGGCTATTGACAGAGTCTGCTGGCGTGAACTCTGCTCTGTAGGCTGATGAGGGTGGCCATATTGTGGGAAAGCGGGTTCAGGAGGGGATTAAATTAGAAACATTTTGATTAAACAGAGCCTCTGTGCTGTCACTCTTCCTCTCTTTCTTTCTTCCTTTACCTCCTCCTGTCCATCCCTCAGTTGCGGAGAAGCACCAGCGTTGTCACTTGGTGCCTGTGGCCCATGTCGGCCCTGGGCCTCATCTCGGACTCCCGTTCTCTTTAGTGTCAGCTTGTGTGTGTGTGCGTGTGTGTATAAGGGGGTCAGTCCTTCAGAAACAGAAACCAAACAAAAAAAAAAAAAAATCAAGCACTAAATAGCCCCAAATGTTGTACTGTGGACGCTCCTAGAGAAAGGATCTATAAATGAAGAGTAGCCCATCAATCATTGTCATTTCATCTTTGGCCAGCCTGACCGCGGCTGACTAATGTCATTGTCTGTTACTGTCCAGAGCCCTGCTCCTCTCCTCTAATGTCAAACAGACGTTGACAAGTTCATATTGAGACGTATGAGAGGGACACAATGTCACCTTTTTGACTTGTGGCTTGGGTTCAAGTGGACTGCAGCACTGGAGCCTTAGTGTTCTTTATGTGGTTGCACGATACATTGTTTGTTAATCAGTATCACAATATCACCCTTCACATAACTGACCTTGAAGAAGGCGAAATGCAACTGTGCCTCTTACCAATCAGTAAATGTTTTCTTGTGTGCTCTGAGCATCCTGACCAATCAGAGATGTTTCTGGTATTTTGTCCAGATCATATTAGACATATGTGGTAAAGATACATTAAGAGGCCTAACAAATTAGATTTGTTACTTAAAGGAATGTTTACACTAAAAAAAATTGTACAATTTTCTATTTATCCCAGATGTAGTCAATCAGCTAAGACATGCTTCTTGTCTTAAATTTTGCTTCTTCATTTCAGCAATAAAGCTAAAAGGCTAATGTTGCTAACTCTAGATGTCAATAGTGACCCAAATTTTTTCCATAAATTTATGCCCAAAACTGCTCAAACCGCATCCAGGTCTTCATTAAGGTAGCTTAGACTTGTCGATGTGGTGCGGAGCCCAGTATGATCACTGTGAACTATAAAAATGTATAAAAACTTCAGTGTAGCTGAATTAATTCTTTTTCAACAAAACGTTTCTGTCTCAAAGAATCCAACTACGCTTTGTGTGTTGTTTCTATTCATAAACATATATTTTTAGTTTTAAAAATTCAAGATTAACAACTGTTTATAATGAGAAAAACAACATGAAATCACGAACATAATCTGTAGCATCTTTATGCCTGCATGACGTGTGCCCACAAAGGGGAGTCGGAATTCAGTACACCACCTGTTGTCTGAAATGGTTGCCCAGTGCATTCAGCTACACTATGAAATTTTGTTAATGTAAATAGTTCACAGTAAGTCATACAGTGCCCCAAGCCACATTGACATGTCTGTGCTACCTTATTGAAGACTTGGATATGGTTTTAGGGATGTATTTAAAGAAAAGGTTTGGGTGATTATAAATTTCTAGTGTTTGTTAGCGATGTTGGCCATGTCTTGGCTGATCAGCTACCTCTGAAGTAATTGGACAACGGTGTAGATATTTTGCCAAACCATCCTGAGACACCTAATAAACGGGAACTCTTACTTTAGTCACTGTGTGCTGTTGTTGTAAGCCTTTAAGAGTTATGTCCTCCAAAAATAAAGGTGTTGTCCAAAAATAAAGGTGGTGAGAATAGCATTTGCATTCACTTTTCTTCCCCTGACATCTTTAAAATGAAACACTTTGTAATGCATGTATTAGATTGCTCATGTGCTGTGGTGGTCTTTGCAGCCTACTGATATGTGTATATGTGCTTGTTCTTCTGGTCAAGAAGAAAAACATATCTGTTTTGGACATTGTTCATCCAGCATAGCCTGAGCATTCTGAGTACTTCAGTATTCGTGGTCAAATCTGGAATGATGAACTTCCTAGAAAAATTCAGTCCATCAAGTTTGCAACATTTGCTCTTCTGTGATATTGTGCACTGAAAAAGAAATAAACGGTATGTTTTCAGCATGTAGCCCTTAAGCACAGGTGAGGGTTAAGCCTTGTTCTTGCATTCAGATGCAAACTGTGGACGCTCGGTAGGCCACTGGCCCTGAATGGGCCCAGCCTGCAGTATAGGCCTTAAGCCCCGTCTGAAACGCTGCATTAAAATGAGAATAGCCCCCTGAGCAGTGGCTGGATTAAGCTACAGGCCTGCTTATTTGCCCAGGCACTGATGTAATACCTAAGCCCACTAACCAAGGAGGAAAGTGAAAATGTGTTGTTGGATTTATTTAGCCCCCTTAATGGACAATGGCTGCATGGGGAGGGGGGGCCCTGGTCCAGCCCTCTCCCGTCCGTGGGTTAGTGGCACGGGGTTGCTTTAATTAGGTTGACCCTGGGGGGGTCCAGGGCCTGCGGGCAGCCTGCTGAATGGAAGAGGGTTTATTTGGAATGGCCAGATTGGGACATCAGTTGACTAACGAGACGTCTATAGCACCAAGCAGGACTACAGGCCAAGAATAGACACAGGATCCGTCTGGAAATACGCATCAGTATGAAAACAGTGCAGTTTAAAGACATGAGGGATTAACAATTATAGACATAAGGTAGTGATGATTGTCATGAAAGCTGTCATTAAAGATTTTTTGTGAAAATTGAAAGAAATAGAAATGAAGAATATATATATAATAATATATATCTTATATATATAATAAGAAAAAAAATACATTGTGCATGCACTGCTGCTGCGAATCACCATGTAAAACCTGAAGTCCTTTACAATCGCTTAAAATTGAGGTGTTGGGTCAGATTTCGTGAGAGCTGATAGGTCCATCTCAAATGCAAAATCAAGATTATGCTAGTTAAGATTTAATGACAATAGCAGATAATTCACGTATGTCCTTGAAACACACATCCTTCACCAAGTTTTGACTGACTTCTCTTTGAATGCTCTTTCAGTGTGCTTGCAATCCTCAGTAATTGCATGTTGCATGCAATTACACATTTCCACCAGAGAGGTCTCCAAATCCCCAAATCTTAAATAGTGTAGCTTTAAGCTTTCAGAATGGCTAAATAAGAAAGTTATTACGTATATATGAAAGGGTTAATGCAATTTAAAGGCTAACGGAATCAGAGAATTAATTTTTTAAGTTAGATGGTAATTAAGTATGCTGAATAGCAAAGAAAACAGCAACTAGCAAAAAAAAGCAATTAATTTTTGTATTGGTGACAATAATATAACAGCATACCTAATAAATTAGATGAATCAGTCTGTCAAAAGCTTACTAGACACAAAGGACTGTCTAGTCCTTTCTAGACTGTTTTGAATAATTTGAGTTTTAACACATGTACTCACCATCCACTTTATACTCAGAATCCACTTTTTATCAGAAACACCTACCCTACAGGATCACTTAATATATGCACTGTTAAAGATATGTATCAGCCCCCGTCTACCTCATCCATTATCGGTCAGTTTCTGACCACAGAACTGCTGTTGACCAGATATTATTTAAGTGTTGGACCGTTCTCTACAGCAGTTACACTGACATGCTAGTGGAAGTGACATGCTGGGATGAGAGTGGTCCAAGAAAAATATCCAACTAAGTGCGGCTCTGTGGTCAGAAACTGAGGCTAGAGGATGACTGTTCATCGTCAAATGGGCTTCAGCCTCTAACTGTACTCCAGCAAGGTGGAGCTACAAGGTAACTATCTTTAAAAAAGTTAACATTTACTCTTCCTCTGCCCATTTGGTCTGAAATGCAAGTTGACAATGGCTCACTTGTCTTAACTAACACACCTGTATGGCAGACCTGCTTCAGGTTAAGGCCTCTCTGATGTTGACTGTGTCCTCTAAATCTTGTTTCTCTCTCCACAAACACACCCATACACAAACAGACGCAGACCGTGCGCAGAAACACGGAATGGACGAGTTCATCTCAGCAAACCCCTGCAACTTTGACCACGCCTCGCTCTTCGAGATTTTACAGCGGCTCACACTGGACCACAGACTGAATGACTCCTACTCCTGTCTGGTACTCAACCACTCCATTTCACATCCAGACACACTACATAGCTCAATTCTGCTGATTCAGTTCTGTTCAGTTAGATCGCCTTTAATTATTCTGTAGCCTGTTACATCTGACTGCAAAACAGCAGGCTAAGCTGAGAATTCTGAGAGCTCTTAGGAGTCTACAGTTCAACAGCTTTTGTTCACTGTTGTTTTGCTATACATTCATTTCATATATATATAATTATGGTACTATTCAAAATTCAGAGACCACCCTTTTTTATGTAATTTTCAGGAAAACAGCCATTATGTACAAGTTATTCATTTTTCTGCCTCAGAAAAAAATCAGAAAATATACATTTAAATTATATGTAAATAAAACTTACACATAAGCCTCAACAACTAAATATAAATGTTTTTAATATTTGATATGTCCACTCTTTGCCTTTAAAACAGGCTTCATTCTTTTTGAGACTTGCTTTCAATTTTTGTAAAGAAATCTGCATATATATATATATATATGTATACTGGATATTTTTTCACACATCCTGCTGACTCTGGTGTGGTCAGTCCGTTGTTCTGAGAACACCAACTGTATCTTTGTTTCATTTGCAGCTACACATCCTTTTAGACTCATAGCGCTGAGTTGTCTTCTCACAGTGGAAGGATGGACAGAAACAGCTGTGGATTTTTTTCAGATCTGAAGCAAGAGTGGAGCTTGATTTTCTCCTCTCTCTCAAACCTGAAAGCTTTAAGTGCTGTTTGTCTTGGTGGCAGGTTTGGTGGTCTACCAGGTCTTACATAGGTGTTTGGGGTGCCATTTTCTCTGTATCTCATAACTCCAATTTTGGATTTTTTTTTGCTCTTAGACTTTCTTCTTCATTATGCAAGTGGATTGTCTTATCTAATCTAATCAGAAATACCTCCTAAAAATGAATAACTTGCACTTGACTGGAAATTAAATAAATGAAAGGGTTTGCACAATATATAATTATGTTAATGCGCTACATTTTGTATCAACAGGTTTAAGTCTGCAATTCCAATCATTTCCTCTTTGGGTCAAGGAATGAAAAAAAACATGGCAAAAATGTAACTGATTATTTCTGTCCAGCAAAATAAGACAGTACTCACAATTATAATTTCCATCAAATTCAAATTATGCCAATTTTCACAAAAATTGTGTTGACTGACAGTTTATAATCTGCACTTTTGACAGCTTTTCTGCTTGTTTAGTCAGCTACAAGTGAGAAAAAATCAATGAAGCTCAAATTGAGGCATTTCAAGGCATACGCGCAATGGGAGACCAAGGAAGATTAACAGCTCACTTTTCTGTTTCCTGTTTCATTCTATGAAGTGTGATTTCATCGCACTTGTTTGTTTTTTTCATGCCTAATCTGTCTGATCTCCCCCTCTCCCTTTTCTTTTCTGTATTTCCCTCCAGGGTTGGTTTAGTCCAGGCCAGGTGTTTGTACTGGACGAGTATTGTGCCAGAAATGGCGTGCGGGGGTGCCACAGACACCTGTGCTACCTGAGTGATCTGCTAGAGAGGGCTGAGAATGGAGCCATGATTGACCCCACGCTGCTCCACTACAGCTTTGCCTTCTGCGCTTCACATGTGCACGGCAACAGGTACAGTGTAACAACATGGAACAAGGCAGAGTGTTAATGTGAAGTGTTTGAGTTTTGCTACATTTTAACTCCTCAGAATTTACAGACCCACTCACATAATAATAATGCAGATACTTTGTATTGTTTTCCATGTTTAAAAAAAAACAGATTAACTGCTTGCTACCACATGGGCTGAATGACAAAATATGTTTTACACTGTGGCATTTCTTAACCCTTGTGTGGTGTCTCTGGGACCCATTTGTTAATGTTTACCAAAAAAAAAGCAATTTATCAATATTTCAACCTCAGATTCCTTGACCTTTGCTCATTTTTCTATTAAGAAAATATAAAATAACACATTTTCAGTGAGGAGAACCCTACGCTGGCTACTTGTGATATTTTAAAAATATGATATTTTTACATAAATTGTTATGGCTGTATTGTAAAAAAAAAACAATAATGTGGTGGGTCCGCCAGACCACTGAGTAACAAAAACACTAACATCACTCAAGGGTTAATTCATCACAAACACCTCGTACATTCTTTTTTGTTATTCCCTCCATTTCACTTTAATTTGTTTGAATTCTCATGCAATTCATTTCTCACCTGCGACATTCATTCATTTTCTTTCTCCACTTTCTCTCTCTCTCTCTCTCTCTGTCTTTCTTGCTTAAGACACTATTATTTCCCCTTTCCTAAAATCTTCCCTCTCCTTCCTCTCTATCTTGCTATCCATCCACTCTCCACTCATGGAGAGAGAAAGAGGTAGAGTGAAATATCAGCACAGTAACACATACGTTTTCTTTCTGTGACTTTTCTGTGACTTTACAGCACTGTGACTTTGCAAGGTGCTGATTTAATTAACTTTACATGCAATTTGCATTTTGTATTGGCAGATTTGAACATGCGTTCTGTCTTTTTTGTCTGTTTAAATGCCAAAAAATTACAAAAAATGTGAAGGATGGCTTCTCTTTGTGCAGAACACACAAATTTTCATCAAATTGAAATCATTATAAAATCTCTTCTTGTTGCAAAAAAAGTTTAACACTTTCAACGTAATTCATTTGCTTGTTTCAACAAGCTATGAGTGAGAATTAATTCTAGCGTATTGAATTACACCAAGCTTTTATTATCACTGGTGATAAATGTGACTTCTAAGAGTTCATGCATCTAATCCTTAACAACAAATTTCTTTTCTTGACCTGTACGTAACGGCTACTGCTCAAATCTCACCTCTAGAACCTGTAAGCACTCTAGAGCTCTACAAAGTTGGAAGCATGTTAATCAGCTGAATGCTCTGCACATGACTGTCTACTAACTGCACTCAAATCTGTAGTACCCATCCCAAACATCTTCTCAAAGCTTCTTTTCTCTGTCTATCCATCCTTGTCTGTTCTTCTGTCCATGTTCATATCTGTTTCTTGGTCTACTTCGATAAATTTCTATTTCAGTTTGGTCACAATTTGTTTTTACTTTGTTTGTGTTCTTTTGGTTTGCATGTCTCACATCTTTTCTCTTTATTTCCCACCTGACCTCATGCTGTTACAACCCTCATGAATGCTTGTGTGTGCACCCATGTTTGTGTGGCGTAAAGTAAGAGAGTGTGTGAGCTGATGAAATGGCCCGTGACTGAGTCCGAGCTGCTCAGTGCCCTGTACCCCTCATCCCCTGCTGACTCCCCCACCCCCTCTAAAAAAGAGCTCCGCATCATGGAGTTGAGGAAAAAGAGGGACTCTAAGTCGCAGGTGGTCGCAGGGCTCAAAAGGTGAGGTCTAATATGATTCCAATATTAGCAATAATGTAGTTGCTTACAGATCTCCCTTTCCCCACTCCTATGACTGGTGGTCCACAGTCAGTCAGATACCTTCATTAAATATGTATGACTATTTGTGTTGTTGATTCTCACTCTTAAACTCCACTGTGTTTGTATTAGAGAGCATAGAACACACTGTCCGTGTGTTTGTGTGAATTTTGTGAATAAAAACTTGCAGCATGTATTGACACAATGTAAACTGGACACTAAAGGATATTTTATTTTAAGTATTTTTGGAGCAGCTAGGAGTTATCAAATGTAAAGATGGCCCAAACAGCATTTTACCGGCTTCAGTCACTTGTTGGTTCTTTCAAACGAGAACCTAAATGCACATTCTCAAAACCAGCCCCTTCCCTCATTTAAGACGTCTAAACATTTTTACAGCTTATAAATCATTTGAAACCTGTGAAGATGCACCGTACCATGATTTTATACATGTACAGTTCTATGCAAAAGTTTGAGCAAGCCAAATGACATTTGTTGATAATTTGTTGAGGATGTGTTAACATAAGTTAACTTGAATATGGCTTTTCTCAACAAAATTTAGTGTACAATTTCTATTTATTTGCTGAGTTTAATATATTGGGAAAAAATACAAGATAAAATAGAAAATGTGCCAGACCTTTTGCACATGCCACATTGTGTTTTTTGGAAATAAACAGTAATTATGTATTAAAATATGTAGAAGTGTGTTCGCTATAGAGGACATGTTAACTTTTTAAATGTAATTTGACTGGGGGTGTTCAAACTTTTGCATATGATCTGCATCTAAACTGGTTTAACTGTATTAAAGATGGTTTTTACAAATGTATAATAATAATTATAATGATAATAATAATATTTTGTAAAAAGTTGATTTGAAGTGTGTTTTAGGTTTGATCTGATGTTAGAAAAATTGTAATTGTTCTGCTTTATTCAAATCAAATACATTATTCATTGCAAAAACTTTCTCACATTAAGGATTAGAATGAACTATTTTTTTACAGTGTAATACATCTATATATTATATTTATACCTTTATATTATATATATTATACAGATATATTATATTATAGAGATATCCAAACAATATATAAATTCAAATATTAATTTATATATTCTTTTCCTATTAGTTACAAAATGTCAAAGTGCTTTATACAGGAAGTTAAGTATTGGAGAGATAAAATACCACAATTTAACACTGGACAGATAAAATACCATGGTCTAAATAAGCACAACAGGAGAAATGCTGGAGAATCCCAGGAGATCAGCAGTTATAGAAATACTTAAACCAGCCCGTCTGGCACCAACAGTCATACCTGTGTCAAAATCACTGCGATCACATTTTTTCTCCATTCTGATGGTTGATGTGAACATTATCTGAAGCAGCTGACCCTTATCTGCATGATTTTATATACTGCACTGCTGCCACATGATTGGTTGTTAAGATAATTGCATGAATGAGCAGGTGTACAGGTGTTCCTAATAAAGTGCTCGGTGAGTACTAAGAAAATGATCCTCAGGCAGCTGAGCTGTAAGTGATTTTAGGAAGCATGCCTCAGTGTAGCAAAATGGTCTGGATGGGCTATAATGCTTCAACACATCAGTAAGATATGTCAAAATTAGGCTATATAATGGCCATGAAGACTGAATAAGACCAGAGCAATGTCTTCAAACATTCTATTCCCTATTAGCACATAGGAGGGTGAATTCAGAACTAGTTGGAGCTTATTTAGAGAGACAGCAGAGCAACCAGCCAGTAACATTACAGTAGGTAGTAGGTATAAAAGCTAATTTCTCAGCATCTTTTAGGGTTAGCATGTGTCTTATTTTGGATATGTTTCTCAGGTCTTAGACATATTTCTGATATGGGACTCAAATGATAACCCAGGGTTACATCAAAATCTTTGTAGCTTTTGGCTGCACTGAAAAACCATCAAGAACAAAGTCTGCAACATGAATTTTAAACAGTGTTTTACCAGAAACAACACACAACCAAAGATATTTATGAGACCTCATTTAACATCCAGTGTTAAATGATAAATATAAACACGTTTGTCTGTGTGCTGTACGTGGGTTGACATGTAGAAACTAGAAAGGTTTGGACTAGATGTCTGTCAGTCTCGCTGATGATGAAGTTGAGGTGGGTTGTGAGCATGTGTGTGCTTGATAGACACTGATGGAGCTGAAGTAGGCTGTCTGTTTGTGTCCCGTTATGATCAGCTCGGACAGGAAGACACGTGTAGCTCCAAGTCAGAGAGAGAGAGAGAAAGATAGAGTGGGAGAGAGAGAAAGAGAGAGGGAGCCCCTCTGACAATCTGTCATGCTGTCAGTCCTGACCTCGAGGCACAGCGGTGTTAGTGTCCTCCCTCTACCCCCTCCCCATCTTGCACTCCCTCCTTCTGTTTTTTTTTTCTCTCTCCCCATCTCTCGCTCCCTCCCTTTCTCACCCTCCATCCTGCTCCCTCTATCATCTTTCTCTTCATCTCCTTTCCTTCTGCACCCCCATCAGTGTTCTCGGCCCAATAACCCCTCTGCATGTGCCTAAACAACAGGTTCATCTGATCCCCCTTGTCTGTCTTAGCTGTGACCTTTAACCCCGGTGCCCGAGGCTGGCCGGCACTATCATTTAAAACACACACACACACACACACACATACACATACACACAATCCTGGTGTAACTACAGATGGCTATATAGTGTGGATCTCTGATGTAGGATATGATACTACAGCCTCATTACCATATCTAGATTACCATATTTAATAACACCCAGTGTTAAATGTGGTTTCATTTGCATTTTGTTATGAATATGCATGATGGCATGTAGGGTTATGATAATGGTAGCGCAGCCTGTTCACAAGCAGAATGTGTCTGAAGGAGGGAAAAGGTTAATTAGGGCGACATGTATTAATTTATTAATTAATTTTTAGATCATATAACAATCATTGTCAAAGAAATTTAACACTCATATCGCAAGAATTACACTTATGTACAGTACTAAGACCACCTTTAATTTATTTGATTTCTAGTTGAAATAGCCATTATTAAGTTCATTTTCCAGGAGATATTTCTGCAGAGATTAGATATGAGATGGTCCATTTCCACACGGAATGACAAGGTTAAATGACAATGAGTGAAAAAACAATAGTTTCCAATACTAAAGTCCAAAAAATGATTAAAACATATAGAGAAAATGGGACTGTGCAAGACCTGGTAGACCACCCAAACTGTTCCCATCAGATAAACAGCACTTAATGTGGAATTCCACAGATTTTCAAAAATTCAGCATAATTTGATCATTGAAATGTAAACAAAGACAATCAGAGTCGTTTCTTGTGAAATGGTTTACTGTGGAGAAACTTTAGAAAGTCTTTACAGTGGTAGTGATAGTGGGTTGTGATGTCTACAATGCAAACTTCAATCCAAAACAACAAATCTAACCATGTTTTTCAAGTTTTCTGATAATCTGAAAAAAAAGTTTTCTTTGGGTACTGTTTTGCCTTACAATGCCCTGTATGTACCCCTCCACCATTAACCCCTAAATGGCAAGAACCTACTGGAAGCCCAAAGTTTTAATACACACTTCTATAACCTAAGAATAGCTCAGCCAGTTTGCATCGAAGTCCCTATGGCTGAATAATAAGCCATAGCTTGAATAAGCCTGGGATTTAAATTTTTAATTTTTTTTTTTATTTTCAATATAATATTTTTTTCATGTAAACCTGGAAATACCCAACAGTGCATTTTAGAATTTTAGAAACTTTTAAACAAAGAACAATTATGATGTTAAAATAAATGAAGTTAAATGAAAAAGAAATTTTCAAGATTCTGCACTATTTCTAGGTCACTATGCAAATTAAAGCAAATTTGACTCTGACCATGTTGACGCATTTCTTTTTAGTCATCTTTTTCACTGAAGCTTGTGTTCAGATGACTCTCAGGTGGATTTCATCTATTCATCAGCAGCTTTGGCACAGACTTGTGGAGTCTGTGCCAGCTTGAGTATACACTGTCATTAAAGCAAAAGAAGGACACATTAACTAATAATAAACTTTGAAATTCATGCTAAAATTTTAAAAGATTCTACTTTTCATTCAAATTTTTATGCCAATAATAGAATGAAAATCCTTCTATTAAATTAGAAAGGAATGCAAAATATAAGCATTTTCAACAGTTGAATCAGACCTTACTGTATGTTTTCTGTTTTTTCCTGAGGTTGAGAGATAACTTGAATTTAAAGACCATTTTAACTAGAAATTAAATAAAGGGTGGTCACTGATTTCTGTGCAGTATTGTATGTCATCTCCACGTTTTAACATACATACACACACAGACACACACACACATACACACAGACAGAGGCTGGCTCTTCATGGTTTGCGACAGGGTGATGTGAGCAGAGTGTGTGTGACAGAGCAGGCGCGGGCGGCAGTGACAGCGTTCTGAAGAGCAGGAGACGTGACACACTCCTCATCACTTCCAGTGAGCGGGTGGTTTGTGTGTGTGTGTGTGTGTGTGTGGAGGTGGGGGGTGGAGGGGTCATGGCTGTCACACCAGACAGGGGGTCCACCGCTGCATGTGTGTGTGTGTGTACTGGAGGTGTTTTTGGGGGGCGCTGGAATGGCAGGGTTACTCCTCAGCTTCAAAACACCTTTTTGAATGGAGCAGAGAAGATGCTGACGGGTGGGGAGTTGTGATATGTGTGAGACAGAGAGAGGTACACATGTCTCAGCCCTGATGGATCCACTCACATCAATCCAGCTTGGCAGGCTGGAACAGAACGAGCATCTGTGTCAGATACATACTGAGACGAGGAAGCTCAAGGAATAAAAAGCTATTCAAATCTTGCTGAAAAACAGATCAGTGTTTGGTTTATTACTACAGTACTGCCCTCTATAAGACCCAGTTTTGTGAAAGCTTCGTAGTACGGCTAACAGCATCTTAACCCTAACTCGCCTATCGTCTCACCGATGATACATTCAAGGACTTTAGCTTTGTCCCCTTCGACTCATTAAAAAACTGCCCCTAGAGACTTGAGCATGCATGTCCACACTGTGCAGTAAAATGGATAAGCAGGTTGTACTGGAGCTTTCAGTGTTTCTGTGTTTCTTATCATTATATAAAAAGCTCAATGCTGGCTTTATTGTTGGATGCACTGTGATAGTTTCTGAACTAGGGGTGGGTGATATGGCAAAAATATAACATCTCGATACTTCATCCTGATACTGCATTTAGTTTGACGTCAGGACAGACAAGAAAGCATTAGTTGTGTCACATTTAAAACATCTAAAAAAAACTATCAATGCAATTTTTATTCAAAGTTTCACCTATTGCACTGCACTAAATCTAAATGACCAGGACTAATTATGTTCCCTTGTAATTAAACATGCAGGTGGTGTTCTTTAAGTACTGACGATATCAACAATATGCTCAGAAAAGCCTATTGTGATGCAATTTGACGTAAATTTATGATAATTATAAATATTGTCATACTGCCTACCTCTACTCTGAAGGGAATTTGAATCGCTAAGGGCTTATTATGGATTTGTTTAATCAGATTAACAATAAGAGGCAACTAAGGTGTGAAGTATATTCATATGTTTCCTCACACACAGAGGACGTTTGCCACATAAAATTAACATTTACAAATTTCAGCTGTTATGTGTTAATAAATGTGAAAAAGAATTGAGAACTTGTTATTATCAGGTAAGGCTTGATGAAAAGACAGAAATATCCTCTTTTTGCCCTTGGTATTAAAAGTATTAAATATCACACTGTATTGAAGTAATACTTTTTTTAAATAACATTTGGTATTTGCCAATACAGTGATTCCTAACCCCTTGTCCTACAGAAACTCTCCCTTCCTGGCCTGCATATTCTGCTCAAGCACACTTGATCCAACAAATCAGCTAATTAACAAACTTTTTCTAAATTGATGGGGGTGGTCAAGGGAAAAAATAGGCAGGGAGGCATACAGCAGAATACAGATTGGAAACCACTGCTTGTATAATAATAATAATAATAATAATAATAATAATCATCATCATCATCATCATCATCTTTAGTGAGTAGCACTAAATTTGTGATTATAAAATTTGAACGTGCAAAACATTACAGTTCAGCCTTTTTCTAACATACTGCCATACGGTAAGAGTATATCATACCTGATCTGTTGGTGAAATAATGGAGAGTTGTCTAAATGGTGTGGTGGTACAGTGAAGGTCTCAGGTGAGCTTTCCCAGAGTCTGTGCTGCAAAGGTGCAGAGGAAGCAGAATGGCAATTCTGGTTTCTTGTAGCATCTTTTCCACTAGCCTCAGGTAAACACAGCCCTGCTGTGGGTGAGAAGGTTGTGTGTGTGATTCCATCTGGAAGGCAGAGGAAAAGGAAGGGAATGGGTATGAATGAACCATAACAAAAAGTGTTCAGTTTGGGGAGGAGGGTGAAAATATCCACACTCACAGACTTTTTTTCAAAAAAACAAGCTGTCTGTTACTCAATGAAATGTGTAATTACTATCTACACAACCCCTCCCCTCACAGACACACAATGGAACCCCTGCACATGCACGCCCCTGAACAGGATGCTATTTATCAGTGGTGAGCAGTGACTATTAGAGCTAGTCCTTCTGTTCAGATCATAAATGTTAAAACTCGATGAAAAACAAGAAAAAACTCCCCTATGACGATGCTAATGTCTGCTAGCGCCCCTATGGGATTCTAGTAATATACAGTATATATATTTTACTCTGTAGCATTGGTCAGGCTAGTGCTCATACTTGCAGTCAGTGATATATCTAGGATTTCCAGAAGGCCTAAAGTGACATTATTTCATTCAAAACTGATCCCACTCATGGAAATCAAAATGTGATTATTTCCTAATTACAGTAGTGGTTGATTTGACATATCCTTAATTTAGGCTCCTAACATTCTAACCAATGGGAGAGCTAGCCTGACTGTAAATACTTAGTTACCAAAGAGGAAAAAGTCCAGATTGGACAATATTCACTGGGCATTTCAGGAATGTATGCCTTTTGTTTCCAACCAAAACTTAACAAGTAAATAAACGAGTGTTTAAATAGAAATATTTTATTGAATAAAAACGAACTAAACAGACGTCTATATATTTATTTCACAGGAATTATTAGGACTTCTCTGAAGGCCTACAAGGCCCTGAGGGTCCCCCACTGCTATTTATAATGATGGAATTGTGTTTGTTGGCTTCATATCACCCCATACGTGACCCTGTGTAAGCCTTTGTGACCTCAGCCAATGGAGCGGCAGTGCTAACTCTAGTATGTGTGTGTGTGTCTCTGTGTGCGTCTGTGTGTGCCTACACACTGCTTCAGGCCTGATGGAATTGGCACTGTCACTGTAGAAGAGCGTGAACGCTTTGAGGAGATTAAAGAAAGACTGCGAGTGCTGCTGGAGAACCAGATCACACATTTCAGGTACACTCAAATAAATAATGATAAATGAAATGATCCCTGTTCACCTTGTATGGTGTATTATTTTTATGTGTAAAGGCAAGGCCAAAATATTGTCACTTTCATAACAAAACCTTACTCATCTGAAGCAAAAGAAACAAACAAAACACTTTCCAAAAAAGGAATTCCACCAAGCTTCCAAATTTATGCATTATTTAATTACTGAGATGCAAAACATGTCATTAGGAGCTGTGAAATGATATAAATGGAGCAATGCAGAGAAACTTAGTTCTTTACAGTGGTGGTGACAGGAACCAGGGGTTGTGATGTCTACACAATAAAACCATTTTATTTACTATCCAAAACCACAAGTGAACCTACATGTCTTTGAGTTTTTGTATGTAATGTTGATAATGGTAAGATAAAAAAAAAAATTCGCTTTACAACACCCTGCATGTACCTCTGTGCCATGAATGAACTTAATGATATATGAATGAAATAAATTTTAGGCCAAAAGCTTGTCTCAAAACTATTATAAAACAATGTATCAGAGGTCAGGCAGAATAGGTAAACATGTCACATAATAACTTTCTGTGAGGTAGCAATTAGAATTATTAAACTCTTCAGACATTTGGCTGCTATCATCACCACTGTGAACAATTCTGACTCAGTTTCTCTAGAACGTCATTAAATGTTCACACAATGTAAAGGGCAGCTGGTGTTAATAAGATAAAAAAACTTTTTAAAAAGGTTTTGAGATTTTGGCAAGGCAGGTACTGTAACTGGTCATATTAAATTGCTTATTTTTCTTGCTTATTATCTCTAAGGTACTGTTTTCCATTTGGACGGCCAGAGGGAGCTCTCAAGGCCACTCTATCTCTGCTGGAGAGGGTGCGTTATCTTCCACACATAACATCATTATATGCCAAAATTTATCCAATTTACAGACAAAAACAACACTCTTGATCAATATGAAAGTGCAGAAACATCCTGCTCTACACTGAAAAAAATGGCACTTGTGTTGCACATGAATAAAATGTGTTGCATCAATCCAATTATTTTCAAAACAAGCTAATTTAAATAAATCAGTTGTGTTGAAGTAATATATTTTATTTGTCTGCAACCACTTGGCACATTTAAAAACAAACCTTTTCTCCTGTGTACCCATATGGTATAGGCACTGAAAATCCCACTGCAATTTGCAACATGCTTGTGGAAATCTGCACAATTTGTTCTATTTTTACATGGAATTTTGTTTTGTTATTTATTTCCTAAATCAAGAGTTTTAACATCTTTTTTCCTCTGTGCTTTACCAGGTGCTGATGAAGGACATTGTAACACCTGTCCCACAGGAGGAGGTGAAGGCCGTGATTCGGAAGTGTCTAGAGCAAGCAGCTTTGGTCAACTACCAGCGGCTCTCCGAGTACGCCAAAGTGGAAGGTAAAAGAAAAAAATAAGTCCTTTGTTTTTCAGGGCAGTGTCAGGATGGAGGAAATCATTCTTCTTAATGTCTCAGTGTGAAACACTGCTGTGTTTCAGTATCAGTACTCATGCAGTATAATGCTTATATGCTACTTGTGTGATATTGCTGGATTAGATGCATTGCATGTATGGCTGAAGCTGTATTTATTATTATTACTAGAGTACTGACTGTACTGCATATGTGGGTAATAAGTTTCAAGGAGGCATTGCATACTGATGGCATTACTAAACTGGCTTCCAATAACAGCTGCCAGAGTTGACAGTAAACATGGCACTATGTGAGGTGACTTTTGCTTGTTTGTGAGAATTAAGTGATTTACACTGTGTTAATTTGTGTAATCTGTATATGAGAGAGCTTGGAAGGATGTAGTGGCATGCTTCATACACATCAGAGGAGGAGTTTGCAGCTTTTGCTGTAAATGAGTGCTTTGTGGGAAAACAGTTATACTTAAAATGTGTTATCTCTAAACTGGAAGGAAATAAAAGCCAAATAATAAATGAATTGATGTCTTCGCTGTGGGAGATTTCAGATTGATTCTTGGATGTATTAGTTAATGTAAATGATTCTGGCAATTCTGTGTAGTTGAACTATTACTAAAAGAATGGGAGGCTAAAGCTAAGACTGTTGGGTATCACTTTATTTGAAGGCTACCTACCATAGGGAGCGTTATAACAAATATTTAAGCATTCAGTGACACCTTTAAGAAGCAATACTTCAGTATTTCTGAACAGCTAAGTAAATGACACTGTGTTGACACAAGATCCCTTAAAATAAAGTGTTGGGCATTTGGTCCACTTTTAATGCTGTTATGAAGAACATTTGAGGCTAAAGCCTAATTAACAACACCACCTCAAACTACAGAATACAGAAAATTATGTATGAAAATGATCACTTAAGTTTGAGGGCATCAACATGTTTCCCAGTGTTATACACTGATTGTCTGCTTTGTATCTTGTTGTTGTTTTAAATTCCATTAAATATCTGTCATTTTAGTTTAAAAGCCAATATGTCACTACGCGGTCACTTACATACCAAAACATCTTATGTTATCTTGTGAAATACTGAAATATTGATTATTTAGTGCATATGCATGTGGTATAAAGTCCCTATGTACAACCCTGTTTCCAAAAAAATTGGGACGCTGTGAAAAAAGGAAATAATAACAGAATGTGATGATGTACAAATCATTTAAACCCTATATTTTAATAAAAATAGTACAAAGACAACATTTCAAATGTTAAAACCAAGAATTTTTTTTTTAAAACAACACTCTTTAAGCGGTTAGGAACTGAGGAGACCAACTGCTGTAGTTCTGCAAGTTAAACGTTTTCCCATTCTTTCTTGATATAGGATTTCAGCTGCTGAACAGTTCAGGTCTCCTTTGTCATAATTTTCATTTTATAATGCGCCAAACGTTTTCAGGTCTGGACTGCAGGCAGGCCAGGTAAGTACCCGAACTCTTACTATGGAGCCATGTTGTTGTAATACGTGCAGAATGTGGTTTGGCATTGTCTTGCTGAAAAAGTAAAGCCTTCCCTGAAAAAGACCTCATCTGGATGGCAGCGTATGTTGCTCCAAAACCTGCATATATTATTCAGCATTAATGGTGCCTTCACAGATGTGAAAGTCACCCATGTCATGTGCACTACTGCACCCCCCTACCATGACGGATGCTGGCTTTTGAACTGTGTGCTGATAACAGGCTGGATGGTCTTTAGCCTGGAGGATGCAACGTCCATGATTTCCAATAAGAATTTAAAATTTTCATTTGTCAGACCACAGGACACTTTCCCACTTTGCCTCGGTTCACCTTATATAAGCTCGGGCCCAGAGAAGGCGGCGGCTTTTCTGGATCCTGTGCATATAAGGTTTCTTCTTTGCATAGTAGAGTTTTAACTTACATTTGTGGAAGCAGCAATGAAATGTGTTCACAATCAGTGGCTTGTGGAAATGTTTCTGAGCCCATGCAATAATCTCCACCACAGAATTGTGTTTTTAAGGTTTGTGTTTGTGCCACCTGAGGGCCTAAAGATCACAGCCAGCCAATATTGTTTTTCAGCTTTCTTGCTTATACGCAGAGGTTTCTCTGGATTCTCTGAATCTTTTAATGTTATTATGTCCTGTAGATGATGAAATCCCCAAGTTCTTTGCTATTTTACATTGAGAAACATTATTCTTGAAATATTGCACTATTTGCCTGTAGAGTCTTTCACAGAGTGGTGAACACTTCCTCATCTTTACTTCTAAAAGACTCAGCCTCTCTGGGATGCTCTTTGTATACCCAATCATGTTACTGACCTGTTGCTAACTAACCTAATTAGTTGGGAGATGTTCCACTGGATGTTTCTGTTAGCATTACACAACCTAACCATTATTTTGCTGCCTGTGTCACAACTTTTTTGAAACGTGTGGCATCAAATTCAAAATGGGCATATAATTTTCAAAAAACAATTAAATTTCTCTGTTTCAACATTTGATATGTTGTCTTTGTACTATTTTCAATTAAATATGGTGTTTAAATGATTTGCACAACATCACTTTCTGTTTTTACTTACATGTTGTGCAGTGTCCCAGCGTTTTTGAAAACAGGGTTTTAGGTAGTCTTCAAATACAGCGTCACTGACTGTGGCAAGATTTAAGATTACATAAAGTGGAACGTTAGGAATCTTTAGCAAGACTGTCACTGTTATTTAGCCTAATTTTCATTATGCTTACAAAGTTTATTATGGTTTGCTTTATGAGTGGTGATCCGTAACTCCTTCCCTGTCAGCAATATATTCACTTTGGCACAGCCTTTACTTTTATATCTCCGTTTGAGTGTGGCTGACTCAGTCTCAGGTGGCTGTCCTAGAGTTGTGTAAGTAAAAATGCATTCAATTCCCTCTCTGAAGTCCTGCACTCGACTGCTTTTCCTCGCTGCCCTCTGTCCGACCTTCACCTCTTTCCTGTGGTAGCTTCCAGGTGTCGAGACGGTGTAAAGCAACAACCGTTGTTCAGTTTTCTTCTTCCAGCTAACACCAAAATCACCTGCTGCTTATCCCTGCTTCTTAGTCCTCCTAACTTGGGTTTTGACACTACCCCTTCTTTGTGCCTCTCTCTCTCTATCTGTCTCTCTCTTGCACTCCCTTGTTTATTGGCTTTGCTGCTTGTTTCAGTCTCTTTCCTTACAGCAGTCTAAAAAGCCAATATACGGTGTAAGTAACCACACAAATGTGCACTTCATGTGAGAAAGTTTCTTTGATAGACATGGATTATTGCAGACCCCTCCCTCCTTCTAATCAGCTACTGCATTTGTTCAACATCATGGCAGATTGAACCGCTTGTTATATCTATCAAATCCCATTATTTGCTCAGTGCCTATACATTTTTAAGCAGATACCAAACGTTTCACATGCTTCACTCACAGTAGGGTTTTTTGGATAAAGAATTTATAACTCTTAGAAGTCGAGTGTTATTACTGCCATTTTGCTGTACTACTGAAAATGTTATTATATTATTAATTATTGTATTTTATCAAATTTATGAACTGTATCACAGCATATCATTGTATGGTACAAAGTGCTCTTACATGGTAAATCAACTCATAAAATGGACAATGCGTATAGATACAAGGAGGTGTACTTAATAAAGTGGCCAGTGTTCACAAACAGAAACTTTTAATGAAATTCAAATCATAATAAAATATGATCACACTGTATTTTGATGTCCCTTATAGATGCTCTATAGATATATAAGCTCAGTTGTATTTAATAGATATTAAGTTGAATGTTACTTAAAAACAGACTGGGCATCTACAAAGGACTATCAAAATAAACTGTTACCTAAAATATCAATTATCACTTCTACTTACAAACACATGGTATTGACTCAGAGTTCAGAACCTGCACTTTCAAAAGATAATTGCGACTTCTAAGAGTAAACAAATTGTAAAGAAGTGTCTCACCAAAAGTTTCACATTTCTTTGGCTTTTTGGACACATTATTTTGCATAAAAGTTACACACATAACAGGACTTGTTTCATAAAACCCATGTCTATAAAGAAACAGTAGAGGCCGCTGGGGATACTGAAGGAGAAAGGCCCTTAGTATCACCTGCCACATGGTTTGAGAGAGTGAGGAAACTTTATGAAGCTGGCTTGTAATGGTTAAACCCAGCTACACACTGTTTTACTGACTCAATTTGTTGAGGCAGTATGTGAAACACTTTTTTAAAAAAGATTCACCCCCATTACATCACTATTATCCATATAACCCTTCTAGCTAGTTGGTAGAAGTTGCCCCTTAGAACTGACAGAATGAGCTTCAACTTCTTAAACTTTAACTATAAGTTCAAAGCTGAACACTAGGCCTGTGCCCAATGACAGTTAAAAAAGTTACTGCAGTTACAGCCCCCAGTGACAGAAAAAAACTCACTTACCATCAGTTAAAAAAATTGTTAATTTGTTGATTTACTGCATGCAAACCAAAGCAATACACTAGTATTGCCACACGCCAACAGACTTTACACAATTTGGGCTGCACGCAATATAAAATCCACCTGTGTTATGGTGTACATTTTAGGACATCCTCAGACAGCAGCTTCAGACATTAGAAAAAACAGCTTCATGTGTCACTGTCATGTCTCAGTTTTTGTACAATCAGGCTAAGCTACAAACACCATGAGATTTATGTGTTTTCTTACTAGATTAAAAACTACGACCTCAGCTTTTAGTGAACTCCATTATTATTATACTCTTTTAATTCACTATTTATTCCTGCATTCGCTTCAGAGTCAGGAACCACCTCAAAATGACTGGATGAAAAACTGTTGCTAATTATTACTATTAGTAGTAGTATTAGTATCTCTATAAGTACATCTGCTGATGCTTCCGGACACATCACATTTAAGAATATCCGCATCTACAGATATTCTTAAAGAGATAATAATAATAAAAATAATAGCGACTTTCTCTTCCAGTAATTTTGAGATGGTTCCTAACTCTGAAGTGGCCATGGTAGCAAACAACAAAGTTATTGTATGATTTAAGCTCTGTCAAACAAAAGATAAAGAAAAGGAAAACAAATATCCACCCAAACACAGTTTAACCATTTACTGTGGTTATTCTTCTCATGGTTATCTTAATAAGAGGTTGAGTAGGCCTGTGTTACTGGCACAGGCCTACTGAACACTTTATCTGACAGTGTGTACATGGCAGTTTGATACTCTACATTCAGCATTCAAGCCTCAATACAATTTTTTCCAACTTCAAGCCTGAAAAAATGGAAGTGCTGGTCTTACTAACCAAAGAAGACCCTTAGCTTAATAATAAAAAAATAGCCACATTGAAATAGCAAAATCACAAATACTGCAATTAGGTATTTTCCGCAAATTGTTCAGCCCTGGGGACAAGTTAGCATGATCACTTTAGCATGTCTTGCTAGCTTCCAGTCATTCATGGCAATGTAAGCATTTTATGCAAAGTAAAGCATTACTTTAAATCTGTAGCAAAGGGCAACCTCTAGCCACACCAGAGTCAGCCTTAACTTCCCATCCAAACAACCATCTAGACACTCCAAAGTGCCCCCTAAAGGGTCCTAGCACCAAGCATCCAGTGTTCCTCTCCCTCTCTCTCTCTCACCTCTGACCCCTTGCTCTTGCATGCCCGATCCTCTTTTGTAGGGAAAAAGAGAGAAATGTATGAGCATCCTGTCTACTGCTTGGCGTCACAAGTGATGGATTTAACCATTCGTGAGTACCTCCCTCATCCGCCACCAGTCCATGCCTTTTAACCCACCCTTCCTTTATTTCCGTGTCTTATGTCCACACAGAGTCCTTGCTTATCACCGTCAGCACCTGCCCTTTTTTTCAAGCCCCCCTCCTTTCCCCTTTTCTCCAACCTTAGCTGATAACATCTATCGCTTCGAGTCTGCTTGCCTAAAACTCTGTTTCTCCTGTCTGGCTGAGTTGAGTGTGAGATATTCTGCCACAGGTCCTTCTGTCCATCCCCATCAGACTCCTCCGTCTGCGTGATGGAGCTTTCAGCACTGTATCTGTTAGCTTTTCCCCCCTCCCCTCTTTCTTTCCTTTTCTTTTCTCCTGCTGACTTCCGCATTTTCCTGTCTGTGATTTGAATGCATTTTTACTTTTTTTGCTTCTGTTTGAGTCTCCCCTCCCCTACTCAGCCCTGCTGATCATATGTCACAAGCTTTCAACACAGGTCAGGTACTGTATGCAACATCTTTACTGATTTTGCTCAGAGCTGACGTCCTTCGCGGAGGCAGGGGAATGAACTAGGAGAACTGAAAGATGTAGGGATCTTTTTGTCACAGCATAACATACTGAATGTACTCTGGGTCTGTCTGTGTTCTGATCATATTATAAACCATGATTAGGTGTGGTGTTTTGTCTACGATTCACTTTCGACGGCTTTTTTACTGTGCGTCTGCGCTATTTGTCTATCGTTTGGTATCACTGTCTGTTCGTTTTTGTCTTAGACAAACGTCCTGATCATATCACTACACTAATGTGGCTAAGGGTCAGTGTGTTTTATGTATGGTCACCACGGAGCGCTGTATCTCTTTACGGGTTCTCACAGGGTGAATGTGAGATGAAGTTGTGGTCTGCAGGAGTTTCTCTCTCTTTTTCTTTCTCTGTTCTGCACTCTCCCTGGCTCTGTCCATCTCACTTTTCTCTACCGCTGTCTTAGGCCACATTTACAATGCAGCAAAGCGAAGGGCTTCGCTAAATGCTTTGGGGATCTCATTAAAACGTTTGAAAGTTTAGCTGTCCAGAGCAAAAGCAGATACAGATTTGTATGCTAGGTCTGTGCTCTGATTAAATGCAGGTGACAGCAGGCCTTTATTTTTAAATGTTCAACCAATGTCACAATCTCCTGCTGAACGTTCCTAGACATACTGAATACATTATTTCTTTTCAACCATTGTAATTCCCTCAGTAACTTCTCCATTTTCTCAACAATGACTTCAGCATTTCAAAAATCTACCTGCTGGCTGATGTTGTTTACTTATTTGCATACAGTCATATGCAAAAGTTTTGGCACCCCTGGTCAAATGATGTTTTGTTGAGTATAAATGTACACGTCCCCTACAGAGAACCCACTTCTGCACATTTTAATTCACAATTACTGTTTATTCGCTGAATTTAACATAATCCAGCAAATAAACAGAAATATATTTAAGTTTGTTCTCTGTGGAGAATGTGTTAACTTATTTTCACTTAGGAAAAAAACAAAACATGTCATTTGACCAGGGGGTGTTTAAACTTTTAGGAAATCCCAACTCTTCCGCTCTTTTCCCCTTTTCCACTCCAATGCCACTCCCACAATCCTGTGCGGAGGGTTGCTGCTGTCTCCAGAGAAATCAATGGGAGGCAAAACAAATATGCTTCGTTCTGCTGTAATGTAAATGCAGCGTTAGTTTCTCTTTCTCTCTCTTTCTCTCGTCTTCCATCTTTAGCCTCCTAAATGGAATACCAGCTGACTCTCTCTCGCTCTATTCTTCCCCTCCCTCTCTCTCTTATTTTCTTTGTAGTTGAGAAATCTCAGAAGGATCAGAAGGATCCAGGTGAACCCTTTTGTCTGACTAATTACTACAGCCATTCTAAAAAGAGCACTCCCCTGTCCAGACTAGGACATAACCCCCTCACAGCGTTGCTATGGCGCTGCCAGAAAATGCCATGGGAATGCTGCGATGATGTTATGTCAACCTCCCCTATAATGTCCCATGCAGTGCATCTCTAAAGCCAAGATGCACTTTGTCTCATCTGTTGGTATGGGCTGTTCGGCTACTTCCACTAGCCACGTTGGGGTTGATTTCCTTAGTTCACTGAATTCGCCCACAGTAAAGAGGCCACAAGACATATCTTCAGATGAACTGAGAGGGAATTTACTCCAACCATGCATCATCCCTTTAATCTCAATATGTAATGCACTACAGCTAAAAGACACTATATTATACAACATAATATTACTATTGTTTCCTAAAATTGTAGAGATTTTATATAAAAATACAAAACTAAACATTATTTTAAACCTGAAAATGTCATAACCATTCTCACATTAATTTCACATTGAAATTAAGAACTGAAATCAAGCATGAAAGAACTGAAATTAAATTAAAGTAACTGAATATAAATAAAGAATATAATTTAGACATCTAATTGACAGGTTTACATTTCTCAAAAAGGAAGGTGCCTTTGCATCTTGAGCAAATCAGGTATTTCGTATTGTTCATATCCTGGTCACAGCTTGCTAGAAGAATTAGATCTGCAAGAATCTACTTCTTCAGCACTCTCTCTGTTGTGTGTGAAATACCTGATTTGGCACGGCAAGGTGTTTCTTCCACAGCAGACACACAAAGGTCTCTGCTGTACTGTGAACCCGCACTGCGAAACCTTGATTTCATTTTAACCCTTTAACAGTTCATGAGACAGCTTCACTGACGCTGGGTTCATCGAAATTATTTTTGTTTTTGAAGGTTAAAGGGTTAACTGAAAATCTGGCAGTGTGTGGAGTGTGTTTTGTGATGGAGAGTCATTGGCTGAGAAGGGTAGGTGACTGCATTGTCATTGTAATTGTTTCTACATCGGTGGGTTCCTTTGTTATAGTGACAAACTGGTAGAAAGTTATAATACTAATGGCACTTACACTGTTCAAATGTTTAAAAAGATTGGCAAACTGGCATTTAAGAAAAAGTGTCATGCTTAAAGCCCCAGGAAACCTAAATCTGTGTTTTCTTTCTAAGTAGGTTAATCTTGCACTTGTGAGCGCACAATAGTATATGTACAAAGTGTGGTCCTGTGAATAACTTTCCATTGTCCAGTAAATGAACAATGGATTTTGCCAATTTGTCTTTTTTCAATGTAAAACTTTGTAACTTTGTAAAAATCTTGTGTAGTAGATACGTAGATAAGGCTGATGTGGCTTGCCCCACCCACACATCATTATTTTCAGGAAAACTGTGAATCCTGCCAACAGACAGCTAACCACCAAGCAAAAGCTAACCTAGAAAGCAAGCTTGCTTAACATCACCATATAAAAGCTGGATAATGGTTTTATGAGCCGTCAACACAGCGGGGTCAACAGTAGCATCTATATATGCAGAGCCTGGTTCACTCATTTCCCTCTGTTAGTGCTGTTGGGTTTAGTTTTGCTTCAGTGGTGTAGTGAGAGTCTTGGATTGAAGGCTGTCACTCACGCATGCTCATAAGAATTTTAGAACCACGCCCACAAAGTTCTCCGATTAATTTGTGTTTTTTCTTTCAGACATTGTAGGATGTTTAGTATAACACTCAACTAAGTATTATATAAACATTTTCAATATTTTACACTGTGTTCCCTGGGACTTTAAAGACTGACTCTAATATTTATTTATAAACTTTTCACGTACATTCAAATGGGCGTCCAGTTTACTCTTCTCAGTCAATTCCTTGGTCTTACAGGTTAATATTTTTTCATTAAACACAGTGTTGTCGATGTCTTTTTACTTTTCAACATTCCCATGCCATTAGACCATACTGAATGGAACATTCTCACGAAGCTCTATGTCTCATGTGTAACCATTATGTTAGACAGCAATACAGAACAGGTTTTATATGAGGTGCTGTATCTCATACTAACACCATGAGGAGATCACACTAACAACATTTCCCAACTTGCTTTTAGCCAGCCAATCATATTGACTCATTTTAGCACTGAGAAGGAGCTAGAAGCTGAGGGGCTTAAGACTATGCATACGATGTGCTAAGTGAACATCAGAAAGAGCAAGAGAGAGGGAGAGAGAAATTAGTTAACACAACTTCCTGCACGTGCTTAGCATTATGCATGATGACTGTAACATATTTGTTTATTTGTTTTTTTTTTTTTATTCTTTGCTTTGATTCATTATATTTACACTGTTCCACACTAACAATGTAGACTAGCAAAACTATAGCTAAACTCTAATGTACATACCTCACTGCATTAGTGATCTTATAGTTAACTCTAGATCTGAGATCTGTTGAGAAATGCTGATTTGAAAAGAAATAGAGACTCTGCCATTTAGACAAAAAGTTGTACAGTACTGTGCAAAAATCAGAGAAGGAGGATGTCAAAGGAGTGAAAAAGCTGAAGATCAAAAAATGATTAAAAGATATAGAATACAGGGACCCCTAACAGCCACACAAGACCTGATAGACCACTAAAACTGTCACCACCATATAAACAGTACTTCAGTACAGCTTTCATCTTTGCGAGAGAGGAGAAAATCAAGCTCTGCTCTTGCTTCAGATCTAAAAAAAATACACAGAGCTTCTATGAGAAGACAACTCAATGCATTGGGTCTAAAATGATGTGTAGCTGAACACTGACAGAAAAAGAAGAAAACTGGCAAATCTAACAAATAAGCCGCTGGTGGGTTAAATATACATTTCCTGCTTTTCTCCTGATGCTGAAAAATAAATAACTTGTATTTAATAGCCATTTTGAATAAATGAAAGATGGTCTTTAGCTTTTGCACAGTACTGTACTTGTTTATTTTTGTATTTATACACTAATAAAATGTATAAATGAGCTTAGACACTCATCTGTAATTGATCCAAGATGAGATATGGGCTATAAACAGACATCTCCTACACTCATTGCTCACCAACTGCTGACAAGACTAGACTGTAAAATGGCATTCTGTTGACAGAGTGAGGGAAGTTTTTGGGACTGTGTGAGTGTTATGTGCGTGTCCACATTAACAGTTTTGCCCTTGTGCCTCAGAGAATGTAGGCCGCTTAGTTACGCCTGCCAAAAAACTGGAAGACACACTTCGCCTGGCTGAACTGGTCATTGAGGTGCTACAGCAGAACGAGGAGCATCATGCAGAGGTGAATTTCACACACGCACACACACAAATATGCAGAGGTACATGAAGATACACATCGACAGTCAAATGCACACACAAAAAACATACATGCAAACTCATACATACACAGTAGGTTCCAAAAGTCTGAGACCACTAGTGAAAATGCTTCTATTTTGCATTCCCTTCTAAATTAATACAAAACTTTTTATTGCAAATTATATTATCTGCATAACAACTTTAGTGAATGTAGAATCTTTAAAATTTTAACATAAATTTCAGAATTTCTTGTATTTAGTATTTCCCTCTTGTGTACTTGAGCTGGCATGGACTCTACAAGGTTGTGCAAATGTCACAAATTTGCTTATATTTGAATAGTGAAATAGAAATAGTGTGAAATTCTGAAATTTCTTGTTCTTCTCCAGGTTCCAGATTCTGTTGTTTATTTCCAAGAAAAAAAATCCAGATTCTTGGACCCCACTGAATATACACAGGCACTAAGACAAGTAATTGTGTTTTTCTGACCAATAGTGCGATTGAAGTTTAAATTTAAATGCAATTATTTTTCATAAATTAATCTTCAGGTCTGTTTTTTTGGCGAAGATCAGAATATCCATGCTAAATGCACCAGACTATCAGTTAGTTGTGATAGTTGTGATGTCACATATACAGAACATGTGTGTTTTGTTGCTTCTGATTGGTCTAACACATCTACAGGCAGTTCACAAGCTGTGTGTTATTAGGTTATATGTTCCCAAAACAAAAACAAGACAACATTGACTAAAACAAGGCAACACTGTTGATAATGTATACTACAATAAAATTGCAGCTCTTGCCATTTGAATGTTTCACGCAATATAAAAGTGACAAACAATTCATCTTTCCGCCTTATTCCTAACACTACTTAACTCCAATTCCGCTCCTCCAAAAACTCTAAATATTTAGGGCTGGGACAATAAGTAAATTTGGGGGAAAAAAAATCACACATTTCCCAATGTGTTGTCACACTGTGAGAAAAAAAATGTACTGTCCAGGTATATTTATCCTTCTTTTAAGGTACAAGCAATGGAAATGTACCCTCAAATGTACAACAATGGTTTTAAATTCCAACTGTGTACTTTAAATAAGCTTTTCTCAGTGGAAAGATATACAGATGTACCCTTTCAAAACATAACATTTTAAAACAGAACAATCAAATAAAAACCTGGAGTAAAAATGTTGCGTGGAGTCAATACAACTTAAAAAATATAACTGCAATGGAATATGGTGCAATTATGTTCCCTAACTAAGGGGCCTGAAGATATACCCTTGAGGGTACCACCACAGTGACAAGAGCTATACCAACACAGTGACAGTTCTGAGACCGCACATGGAAAAAAACCCTAATGCTGTCTTTTACTTCAGAGCTAATGGCTGCTGCTGTAGTATGATCTGTTTGCCTCTCTGAGTGTTTAATAACAAAAGCCCACAGGACTTCATGTGAAGGTTTCAGTGCATTAAAAGTGGTATCTGCTGTAGAAATTGGTATTGCCTTGTGATGACTAAACAAAAAAACTAAAATTAAGAAGGGAAAACCCTGTGTGACAGTGACCAGTGATACGAGTGTACACGAAATAAAACCAGGACTGGAGTTTCAGATCAGGGTGCAGAGTGCTAACTCGTAAAAAAAGCAATTAAAACTACAATAAATTTCACTTTGATTGATAATTAGCGATAAATCAAAAAGTGGTCCCAGCCTTAAAAATAATCATGTATAGCGGTTTAGGTGAAAACCAAAAACTGCATTTTTTTTACATCACCACTACCTTAAATCCACTCTCCTGCGGTGTGAGACAGCAGAAGGGCCTTACAGAGGGATTTTACCATGTGTTCTTGAATTACATCAACAGGATTCAGGGTCCAGCTCAGGGGAGCAGCTGGTACAGTATTGCAGCAAGTTTTCTATCACTACCCACTGCACAAACATCCTTCAGCTACAAAAACACTGCAAATTCAGATGATTCACACTGAGTTCCAATATTTTTCAATCAGTGAGTTCACAATTTATGTCTTCAAGAAACTTCAGTGTTCACTGATTGCAAACTGGTCTACCTTAAATGATGGTAGATCTATAGGTACTTTTTTGTCTGGTGGATAGTGCTATAACCCATTGTTGCATGCAGGCCTTGCTGTCTGACCTGCAAATGGACAGACCAAACATAGGTGTGTCAGACTCCAATCCTAAAGCCCCAACACTGCACAGAGCAGCAGCTTAGATTTTGTAATTACTGTTAACTGCACTGTTGTTATGACCAGCTAGTTTCATACCTACCAGTGATTACAATATCCATGACCATAAACTGGCTTCAAGGTCTAGATTTCAAGACCTCTAGTTTTGAGTTTTCCCTGATACAATTGTTTCAGCTTGTCAACAAATGATCTACCTTTTTTATGATGTGAAAGGAAAATGTTAAAGCCTGCAGTGCTGTGGAAATTTATGAATTGTCTGGCACCACAGTGCATCTGCACTGACAAACACCAAAAACAGTCACCTGCCATCTTTGTACATCATATACACTCTTAAAAATAAAGCTGCTCTAAAGGGTTCTTTGAAAGAACCACAGTGTGAATTTGCTATACCAATAGCGCAAACGTCCAAGTCACAAACCACTGAGGAAGCTTTATTTTCAGGGGTGCATGTTTCTATTGTACAGCATCAATGGCAATGAGCCAAGCAGTTGTTATGTAAATTAAGCATGTTTTTCTGTTACTTTTGTTGCCAATACTTTACTGTAGGACAGTAAATGTTCATATGGCTACATAAGCCCTTAATGACAACTGCTATAGACCTACCTTAACATTTATAAACACTTATTCCAAAAGGCATCATATCGCTGTTGTCGGAAGAAAACCTCCCATCTCAAAAATGGTAATTTTACAGGAGAAGGAAAAAACCTACTTTAATTTACTGTAAGTCAATGGAACCAGAATTATTTCTGAGTAATTTTGGGCCATTTCTTTTGGTCAGTTCATCATGAAATTTACACACAATGTAAAGGACAATATGCATTTTCAAAGTATGTCAAAAACTGAAAAACGACAAAAGTGGAGATACAAGGTTTTCTTCCAACAGCAGTGATATGTAAAGTTGACATAAGATCTATCTCAGGCGACATTCTTTTTTTCCTGACATTAGGTTAAGTCACAGTCTGGCTGGTTGAACAAATGTGATCATTTTCTGTGACTCTTAGGTAAAGTAACTTGGATTTTACCATCTATAATATTTAGGCTGTATCATAATTGTTATAACAAGCTATGTCATTTCACCCCAAAAAGAGTAATGACGCAATTCAATGTCAGACAAAATCAATGTCACCTAACACAGGTGTGTGTCAACATGAGACAACTCCTAATGGAATAAGCCTTTATAAACGTTTATGTAGGTTTATGTCAGTTGTCATAACGAGCTTAGGTGACAGTATTATAGATACTATATATATATATATATATACTAATGTATACTAATATTATAAATACTGCCCTACAGTGTTGCCATTTTCTTTTTGATACTTTTTGCTGTTGAGGAACAAATGTTCACTGGAAAAGTACTGACTTTCAGTTTTAATGCCATCCCCTTAGATATGCAAACTAGGCATATATGAGAGGACGCTTTAATCTCAAAATATCCAGCAACATTTGCCATTTTGAGAATGCATGGCTAAACCTCACATTCAGAATAGCCTACTTAGAGGTTAATATATATATATATATTAATTTATTGGGTTAGGTTGGTAGACAAAAAAATGGGCATTAGCCAACCTTGCCCAAGTAAGCAAGACTGTTAGCTTGTCTTGAGTTAAAGGATGATCAGTCTGATGTAACGTTCACTGTGTTCTCTCGCTGTTTGTTGGGTTCCCTGGATACATTCAAAAGGGTAAAGAGGTATGTGAAAGAGAAGAGTCCCCATGCTCCCCCACCCCACCCCCTTCAAACCTTCTCCTCTTCCCCATCTTATTTGCATGTCCAGTATCCCCCTTAACCCACCCTGGATGGAGGGCTTGTATTTGTTCCAAAACCCCCTACCTTCCCCACAGCTCTATTGCGGAGCATTAAGCATTAAGCAAGCTGCTTGTGTGGGCACAAGTGCCAGACGAACGGCCGCTTCTTCTGCCCTGAAGCAGCTCCCGACGTGCCCTTTGAAAATGAAACCGAGCTCATTTTCACCAACGTCGTCTTGCACAACCCTGACACCCCCTCTCCACCTTCTGCTCTGTGGACAGTAAAATTCCAAGTGTTGAATTATCTCGTCATGAGATTATTTCACTCCAACAGAAAGCCAAATAATGGCCCTTATTCATCAAAGTTGCATGAACAAAATGACCATATGCAATCTTCATCAACAGGTTTGTCATTTACCAGCTTCACCATTGGTGTATCTTCATGATCAAACTAATGTCTGCTCAGACTACAAATCTGAGTGTAATATATAACATTTTGATTCCTTGTATTAAAATTAAATATAATTCAGTTTAAATAATGACACCATGCAATTTGTTAAACAGCACAATTGAGGATTGGTCACAGGGTTTATCTTCATTTTTAAACAAAATATTTATAATTACAAATGTAAATATATATGTAAATATATATTTATATATATATATATATATTTATATTTACAAATTAGGCCTAAACCTACACTAAAATGAATTTTAAATGGTGACGCTCCAATTCTTTCCAAGACTAGTCTTCATCTATTTCCAAAAAACATTGTCATATATGAAATGTGACACCAAAAAAACATTATCATGTTTTATTTTTTTAGTTTAAACCTATTAGATGGTAAAACAAAGCTTGAGAAGCGCACAGAGTTTGATCTAAAATCAAATTCAACTAAGCTAACAGCACTAGCACAAATTTACCCTAAATCGAATTCATCTTACAGTTATAATAAAGGACAACCAGTACTTATACAATTGCTAAATGCTTTTATTGGCTCGCTGCACAAATTAAGGTGTTTCGGGCAAATCATACATAAGTGATGGTGAATTCATTTGTAAATAAAGGACTAGAGAGGAGGTGCTTGTGTCCATACAGCAATAGCTGATTCATCAGTTGCACTCAGATCACTGCTCAAAGTCATAGAACAGTTTCGGTCAAATGTGAAGTAATTCACACGGAGTAATTTGTTCCAGGCACTCAAATCTGCACTTGTTTCTATGCAACTGATGAATAAGACCATTTAAACCACATCCCAGGACTCTGTAGGAGTGAATTCAACATTGCAGATTTTACCGTGTTCATTTGCTCCAGCCTGGTCCAATCCATCACCTTAACATTCCAGTGCGGTCCCTTGTTAACTGAGGCATAGTCATCAGGTATTCAGCAGACTACACTAGCGATAGCCATGCTAGAAAGAGGGTTTTCACTGAGTGCTCAGTCTTCAATGCATGTGGAAGAGACCCTGTGGAGATGACCTCTTACATAACCCCTGCATTTCTCCGACATGTTTTGCCAACTTCGAGACATGCAATACATGTGCCGACAGCAGAGCTTTCTTTTCAGCAACAGAAGAACCTTTCACATAAAAAGTGTAAAATAAAGACAAAGTGTTTAAATTGCAAGCCACAATCTGGCATGAAGTCAAGAAACAGTGATATTGTAGGGTTCAGATGCTGTTGCTGGAGACTGCGACTGCTGCATGGTTTTTCTGAAGGACAAGCTCCTAGGTGCATGTACATATGGCTACATTCACATCAACAAAGTATGTTTGTGTGGGCGCATGTGGGAGCGACTGTGTGTAAATGCACACTGAAAAAACTGATGCGGTGAAGTTACTTGATTCAAAGCTGTACATGATTTCCTCATTAATAAAATACATCAACATAATTTGTCTTTCAGATTACTTACCTTTGCCAATAACTGTGCTAATGTATTTTATTCATGTGGAAATGATGCCCATCCAAACATGTAACATATCAAAAGTATGGTACTGTGCAAAAAATCAGAGACCAGCTCTCACTGATCTAAATCTAATATCTTGCTTCAGATCTGAAAAAATCCACAGTTTCTTTCCATCCTTCTACTGTATAAAGACAGGTCAGAAAGGATGTGTAGCTGTTAAAAATCCATAACCTCTTGGAAATATACCAAAAAGAAGAACAGTTGCAAATCAAACACAAAATCTGTTGGTGCTGTCAGAACAATGGAATGACCACCACAAAGCCCAGACCTCAACAGCACTGAATGTGATGAGAATTACTTGGATCATGAGAAGCAGAAAGTGCAACCAACTTCTAGGACTAAACTTACAAGGTGTGGGAAAAATATCCCCGCAAATTTCTTTGAAAAACTGAAACTGTTAAAAAGGCAAAGGGCGCACATGCTAAAAACAGGGTTAAAAATTCAATATCAAAGTTTTTGAGGCTTCTGTGTGATTTTCTATTTTCTGTTTTTTTTTCACTAAGCCTCAAAAAATAAATAACTTCATGGTTGTTTTCATTAAATAAATGTAGGGTAGCATCTAACTTTTGCATAGTACTGTACATTTCAGTGTATTATTTTCAGATTTTAGAATATGTCAGTAATGCATATCAAAATGTTAGACTTTCAAAAGTGTTTGAATCAAGTAAATCTAATGCATCACTTTATTCAGTGTGCGTGATGTGAATGTAATAGCGTTGCACCCTTGTGTGCTACTCTACAGAAGAGAAGCATATAAGGTGTATTTAACCTGCATGAGACGAAGTCTAACTCTCTGACACTCTGCAACTATATAACAAGACAGGAGCCGTTTCTACAACGCCTCACTCCCCTAAGCTCACACTCTGTGTCTCTGTGGGCCGACGGAAGAGTAACTGTATGTGTGTGTGGCTGCCTGATATGGTGTTAATGCTTGAAGCTGTGAGGGGTCTACGGGGACCATGAAGAGTGACTGAAATAAGGTGGTGACTACTACAAAGTGAGATGTAGAGGCATTTTATAAATCTGTGGAGCATCAAGCCTTGCACCAAACCCAAGAAAGAGACCGAAGCTCTTTGAAAAATAGTCCCTCTTGCCCTCAATACATCTTTGCACTTATCTCTGTCACTCTCACACGTTAACAAGCTCTTCCTCTCTCACAAACACACTCTCTGCAGGCATTTGCGTGGTGGTCCGATCTGATGGTGGAACATGCAGAGACGTTTCTGTCCCTCTACGCTGTGGACATGGATGCAGCACTGGAAGTCCAGCCCCCAGACAGCTGGGACAGTTTTCCTCTCTTCCAACTGCTCAATGACTATCTGCGCCTTGACTGTAAGGACTATTAATGCTTCTTACTCCTAACCATTTAATTTTACTGTAATCTTTGCTACACCCTGTGTGGATCTTCATATTAGGGCTGCTGCGGTTATTTGGATTGCTTAGTTTAAAAATTAGATTTTATCTTTTCGATGACATTGACAATGTTTAACTGGTGATTCGTATGATTATAAATTCTCCTATTGGTCTCTCTTACAGTAAGAAACAAAGCCTAATATTTTTATATTTTTATGTTTTTTTTATGAAGTTTTTAAAAGGCATCCTAGTGTATTTTTTCCAGTAAAGTATTTGGGCTATGGATAATTTCTTGCTGTTCAGTTCAATCCATTTTTACTGTTTGGCATTTTGAAAAGCTTGATTATTTTAGTAATCAAAAAAATATTTGGTAGGGCTAGGAAATATGGCAATATTTATAATTATTGTGATAAATTACTTCACAATGTCACATGTTGCTTCTCTGAGTATATCGTGGACATTACCAGTACTTAAAAAACACTATTCAGCTGCATATTTCCTTACAAATAAAGCCTAATTAGTGCTGTTTAATTTAAATTGTTGCAGTGCAGGATGTAAACTGTTGAATACAAATCACTATTCATTGTTTTGATAGCATTTTTTAAATGTGGCACTTCTGGTTCTGGTTCCTTTTGTCTGTTCCAACTTACCAGATGTCAGAAAAATTAAATATTGTGGCATATTGTGTATTGTGAAAAGTTCTTGAAGTATTGCGATATATTTGTGCCACACTGCCCCGCTCTAATAATCAGTAGATTACTCAGTTACAGTCATCTCCAGTTACTAGTCATTATGTGGCCGGTTTCATGCAAAAGCACTCATCTAGTTTTGCCTCACTGTCAAGGTTGACATCAGTTTGAGTTTCCCATGCTTGCGTATGAGTTTCCAAATGTCTTTGGCCGTCCTTTCCAAGTTTAAACCTCCATATCTCAGTTTCTCACTTGTTGGAAAATTAGCTCTGCCTCTGTGTAAAGCTTAGTGTTTGTCTGAAATCTCCTGGCCAAGTTACAAGGTTTGATGTCCCTGAGTAGTAGATAGGATGTTTTGGTGGTATTGAAATGAGGGATTCTAGCACTAAAACTTGACAACAATTATACCTTCCTTTGCCGAGTTATGGCCAGCAGCTCTAACTGAACAAACAAGGAAAGAGAAAGGCTCTTTTATCAAAAAAAGGGTCACTTCAAAATTACTCACTGTGGCTGTACTTAAATAATACATCATATCAGAATATCTGGAAAAATGAAAAGCCAAATGAGATAGAGGTAACGCAAAGAATCATAGCTTTAATAATAACCTATAGAATAATGGTGGCCTGGGGAGGGAAAGGCATGTTGGGGTCAAACTGTCACACTGAATGTAAAGAGATTGCTGGAGGCCTTCTCATGTCGCTAATGAACTGCAGTGAATGAGGAGTTGTCCATGGTGCTGAACAAAGACACTTCTTGCACTGCAGTGGACTAATTATACTGGTGGCATTCTTGGCACAGCTTGACAGGTTGTTGTCTGGTAACCTATTCTCAATGTTAAATAGCACGTTCTGCTTACTGAGAAACAGAATAAGAGAGGACGAAAGACAGAGACAGGGGTTTTTGTTTTTTTCCTATTTCATTTCAGTGAGTGTCTGTTTACTACAGCTATTAGCACCACTAACACCAATTTCAACAAACCTGCACATCTCATAGCTTGCTGACTGTATCAGAATGGACAAAAACTCCCACATTTGGCATTAAAATATTGGAGATCAAAAGAACAAAACAGATTGCACACATCTAGCAAACACAGCACAAACACATTTGCTCAAGCACTGCCCTCAGCTTGTACTGCATCTGGGCATTCCACATGGAAGGTCACTCTGCTTAGCCCGTAGCGCTCAGCTCAGCTTATGTGCTATGAAATGGCCTTAGCACCAGACAGGCGCTAAAGCAGGAGGCTGTTCATGCTGCTAATGAGGTCTAAAACAGAGCAGCCCAAGAGCTCTGAGCTGCAGCCATACGCTCGCGGACACACACAGCCAAGTGGACAACCACCGCCACTCAAGTGGCTAATTGGAACAGAGCAATCAGGGAGGCAAACAAACATGGCACCTACTGTGTATGATCGACCTTGAGTAGAGAGAGAGAGAGAGAGAGAGAATGAGAGAGTTAGCACTAGGAGGAGGGAGATGCTACAGGCTCTGTTGTGTTTTGCCATTGGACAACATTTTGTCTTCCCTCATCCTTGTATGTTTAACCCTTAGAAGCTGCACTTACAAGCACATTGTATAATTCGATAATAATTAAGTCACTCAGCTCATTAAAAATGTGGCAGAGAAATTCCGCAGGATGTGCAGATTCTAAACTTTCAATTAATACCAAGTATGTGTTCGTAAGGAGAAGAGTAATGAATATATATGCTTTCAAAGATAAGGTATACCTGCAGTCTTGTTTTGCAGAAACATTGCAACATCTTGTCATGTTTTTGGTTCAAAACTAATGGGAAAAAAGTACAGACTGTCCATACAGAACGTACAATACTGTGCAAAAGTCAGAGACTATCCTTACGTCATTAAATTTCCTGTCAAAGCAATGAAGTACAAGTTATTCATTTTTTTATATTCCAGAGAAGATTCAATACAGTATAATTCATGTGCAAAGAGAAGGGGAAAATCAAACAAAAAAGAAGCTACCAAAACTGGAGTTTTAAAATTAAAGGAGATGGAGAAAATGAGACCATTCAAGACATGGTAGATCACAAAAACTGCCACAATCATATAAACAATGCTTAAAGTTTTCGTCTTTGAGACAGAGGAGAAAATCCAGCTCCACTCTGGCTTCAGATCTGAAAAATCCACAGGTGTTTCTGTGCACTCTTCCACTGTGAGAAGACAGCTCAACACTATGAGTTTGAAAGGATGTATAGCTGTCAGGAAGCTGCTACTGAGAAAAGGAAATAGACAAAAAAAAAAGAACATATGCAAATAAATAAAAAGCCAGCGTTCTCAGAACAATGGACTGTCCACCCCAGAGTCCAGACTTCAATTACAGACTGAAATAAAAGCAAAAGCAAGTCAACTCAACTCAACATCACTGAAGGAAATAAAAACCGAAAGCAAGTCTTCTGAAAATAATGGAAGCTGTAATAAAGGCCAAATGTGGATATATTAATACTGAAAAAAATGTATTAGTTGTTGAGGCTTCAGTGTAATTTCCTGTTAAATGTGTGCTTTCTGTTTTTTTCCTGACACTGAAAAATAAATACTTTGTACTTAAATGCCAATTCTACTGGAAAAATGAACAGTGGTCTCTGGAGTTTGCACAATGTGGTTAAATGCAGAATTGCATTTGAGTAATGCAGCAAAATGAAAGTAGTAACTGTTCTAAGCATTACTGCAGCAAACCACATAATCTTCTCTCCTCCTCTATAGACAACCTGTGTAATGGGAAGTTCCACAAGCACCTGCAGGATCTCTATGCCCCTCTGGTGGTGAGATATGTGGATCTAATGGAATCGTCCATTGCCCAGTCCATTCACCGAGGCTTCGAGCGTGAGTCTTGGGAGCCAGTGAAGTAAGAGATCTTCCTTCTCCAAGCTTTTGTTTACCTGGTACAGTAGCACTGTACTGTCCCAATATTTTCCAATTGGTCCATAAACAAATACACATTTGGAGTTATGATTTTTGCACTCCATAATGCATTAAATGTGTCAGTTGTTTCTCTTTTCTTCTGTTCCAAATGCAGGTAAGACCACATAGCTTATCTGTTATTGTAAAATGTTTAAAAATGTCCAATACAGTTTTGCCAAAGTTTGTTGCATTATTTATTTGATTTTATACTGAAGGGTCATATTATACATATGTATTGTCCTTGCTGAAATATATAGGAAATAACTTTTTTGGTCCAAGACCTTTTTTGCAAACTCTCTCAATCAATCTCTCCTCATGCTTGCATGCAATATTTAATGCTACAGCAAATGCATAACTGAAGTCTCTTCTTTTTGCTTTCTCATAATCCATCAGATCTGACAGACTGTCCTTGTCTTTATTGACATATCCAACACATTATTTTCTTGACCTCACTTTCTAAATCATATTGTGTTATTTTTTCTCAGTATATACTGTTTTTCCTGCTCATCCACATTACATTCTTTCTTCTCTGTCTTTTCTTTTTTCCCCTCTTCACAGGAGTTTAACAAGTAATCTGCCCAATGTCAACCTACCAAATATGAATCTCCAAATGCCTAAAGTTCCAAATCTACCAGTGTCAGTTAGTCTGCCACCAGTGCAAATACCTAGCTTTTCCACTCCCAACTGGATGCCAGCTTTATTGGACACAGAGTGTGTACTGAGTCTGTACTGGGTTTTGGTTCATGCAAGCGTGGCCTTGGTAGGAACACAATTCATCAGTTGTTTTTTTTTAAATCATTTTGAGGCTTAGTTTGGGAATTCTTAAAATCAAGTGAGCATGATCCGAAGACTGTCCCATAAAGTATAAATGTTAAAATGGTCATCTTAAGTTAGGCAGTAAAATCTTACCTACTTAAACACAGGGAAACATTTGCTTGCTGCCAGACTAGAAGAGGTGCCAAAACTCAATGAGGTCAAATTACTTTCCTCACAGAACAGCACAAACTCGGACAAATAAATTGTAATATAAAGCTGGGGGACAAAAGAAAGACCTGTAATATAAATGCTGCATATGTGTACATGCAATATGTGGTATACTGCTTTAAGCTATGGTTTACCTCAACTGAATAAGCTGTTGATGCCAAGGCCACAGCATGGGAACTTAGCCCCTGTACTATTGAGAGTGTCAAAAAATGGAAAGCCTTATGGGCTATTCATTTACTCTTTCAAGCATGTTGAAAGGCAGAAAGATACAAAGCAAGAAATAAACACAAGATTATATCTTAGTGACTGCTCAAAAATACAACTGAAAATTGTATTTTGTTCAAAGCGTGGTTCTTTTGTATCTTTCTGCTACCTCTCCCTGCCCTCCTTATAACCCTTGTATAGTAGAGAGGTGTTGAGTGTGCTCTTTCCTCTAGCTGTATCTATTGGCTGTTGGGCCCCAGTACTGTAGGTCTTCTGTATGGTGCTTTAGGGGTTACACCCTGGGCATGCTGAGGGAGTTCTACAGGGTTCCGTTACTGGTCCACTCCCTTTTTCTTCTGTGTGACAAATGACTGCTCTGAAGTTAGTCTAAAGCTTCAGTGCAGCAGGCATTCCTATTCAGTAGAAACTACGTCCACTACGTTGCATGGTGCATATTTCTGTTATATATTATTATCACAATAGTAACAATGACAACTACCTGTCAAATTGAAAGTTGGACTTTTCCAACTAAAGTTTTGTTTCTGTAAAAGAATTCTAGATAGAACAGAAATGGGTAATTAGAATTTATTTACAACCAAATCTGCTCTAATCCTAAAATATCTGCTTCCCTCTGGTCTGTGGCAATCTGTGCAGTAGGTTTCTACTGAGGATGTCTGGAACAGGTGCATGGGTGCATTCTCCTTGAGCTGTGATGAGTGCTGTGAAAGACACTTTTTTTTTTCTTTCTTTTCTTTTCTTAAAAAAGGTACAGCAAATTAGTTTCTCAATCATACTGATGATCGGTTTGGGGATTCTCCAAATCCTTATTTCCTAAGACTTTTTTCTGGCAGATAAATTTTGCCCACAAATATTTTTGTGGGTAAAAAAAAAAAGTTTTGTAATTTTCAACATTGACAATCTTCCCAACATTTCCAATCTTTCTCATTTTAATTGACCAAATATATGTATATTTCCAATAGCTATTCTAAAGCCAAATTTTATTAGCTGTTTAATTACAAACCCAGGAAGTAAGCATTCTTTGAGTTGGAAAAACACAGCAGATTTTGTTCCATAAATCATTAGGCAACAGATATGGCAGAAGTATTTGTGGGTTGAATTCTACTTTGTCCTTCACCACTCTGTATCTACATGCTCACCCATACTTCTCTTTAGATTATACTCTAATGCATCTTTGACATCTACTAGCATGATCTCTCCCTCCCTCAGCCCAGACTTACCAGCCATTCTCGGCTGGGTCTGTGGGCACAAAAGAACCCTTTATTATTATCATGGTCTGATCATCAGCACAGTCGATTTTATTTCAATTGCTGTAAAACAGTTTTAATTTATGTGAAATGATATTAATATTAATATTTTGTTTGCCAAAGTTATTTACTAATCAGCTCAATGTTGGTTAGTGAATGGCAAAAATAATAGACAAAAATGTTGGCATAAAATCTGAAGTTGAAACAGGTTTTGTTTTTCTCCTGCACTACCCATCTGATCCTTAACCTTTTGACCTGTTGACCCCTTAAGCCCTCTTTGACCTGTGGTGACCTATGTCTAAACCCACCCCAAACGCTATCTTTCTGACTTTGCTTGTCGGTGTGTGCAGCAACGGTTCTGGGACGTCAGAGGATCTGTTCTGGAAGCTGGATGCCCTGCAGACATTTATCAGAGACCTGCACTGGCCTGAAGAGGAGTTTGGCAAACATCTGGAGACCAGACTCAAGCTAATGTCCAGTGACATGATCGAGTCCTGTGTGAAAAGGTTGGAAGTACCAGGTCTTATTTTCACTATGTCAATGAGTTGATCATGTAATCTCATATGGGAGGATGATATGGACTCAAATTTATAGCACAATATTTCCTATTACCAGACAACGATGATAATATATTAAAATATACATAATAATAATAATAATAATAATAAAGTATCTATGTAAGTGTTTAATTTTCATGATACACTATTTGTAAAGTTTTTAATAATTATTTTGGTTGTTCAGGGTGAATTTGTCTTGCTGGGGCTGTTCTGGCTTATCACGGTTTCAACACTAAGATGAAATCCACACCACACAAATATTCTCTTTTATACTACTATACTAGCTTTAATCCAGACTGATATTTTGGTCTGAATCTGCATACAGTCCAAGAACTTTTTATCTGAGCCTAACCTGACCCCACACACAGCATTGTGTACCTGACCAAAGGCAAATAAAATTCTGTCCAAACCTTACTCTACATGAACCATATCATCAAGTTCTGACCTGAGTTGCCTCATCATCTAATAAAATGCCCATTGTGTCCCAAGTTAAACGTCCTTTTTGGCTGTGCATTTTCTCACACGTGTGAGCCTCATGGACCTCAGTGCTATATTCTGTCAACAACAAGTGGATGACTTCAGCATGCTATGTTAAAAACTGTTTAAGGTAATGAGAGTAGAACAAAGTGACAAGTAAATCTAAAGCAGGAGGAAATGCAGGGTCAAATCTGCTAAAAGTGGGAGATGAGCTCCGGGAACCCAAATGTAAAATGTGACACATAATTGAGAAACGACATCCAAACACAACAAAGCCAAACACTGGGTCCCATTGGGTTCACACAATTATACGAACCCCATACCTTCCACCCTTTGTCTCACATCACAATAGTCACGTGTTATTCAATATCACTTTTTTCTCGCTCTCAGAACCAGAGTAGCATTTGAAGTGAAGCTGCAGAAGAGCAGTCGGACCACAGACTTCCGCGTCCCCCAGTCCATATGTACCATGTTCAATGTCATGGTGGACGCCAAGGCCCAGTCTGCCAAGCTGTGCACCATGGAGCTCGGCCAGGAGGTACACAACGCACACGCACACATGCTTTTCTTTTTTTCTTCCTTTCTTTCTATCTTTCTTTCACTCTGCGGAACCACTCCACTGATCCACAGCCACTGAAGCATATTTTCTGTCAGTCTCATCAGAGCTGCTCCCACACAGAGCAAATAGAAAACCATCAAGGATCAGTACCAACTCTACATTGGGAAAATCCTTTATAAACAAATCCCTATGTATTTTCATCCACAGCCTGAAAATGCATGCTTTTACTGTTACAAGCAATCAAAATATTTGCAATAGATATTGTATATGTCCTTTTAAATCATATTTGTACTGTTATGCATATTCTGTATTTTTGTAGATATATATGCACCTATGGGAAGGCTTAAAGCCTAGAATGATTTAAGTTTTCATTTTGCTTGATGCTGTGCTGGAATGTGAATTTCTTGTTTTTTTTGCTTTTTCCTCCCTCTGTCGCATTCTAATTTTTCACCATCAAATGTGTCTCCTCTATCTTTCTTTTTATTTCTTTTCTCAATCTTGTGAAAGTTTGTTAGAGAATGGGTAAGTGTGGCTAACAATTCAATTGAATTCTCACTCTCAGTTCCCAAATGTATAATTAGCAATCGCAGCAGTTTTCCCCGTTCCTCTGACACTTAAATTGTTTTGATTCCATTACCATATGTGATAGCTGCTTCTGAATATACATGTGTTAGAAGTGAGAGTCCTCATATCCGCGGCATCTTGAGACAGGTAATAATTATCTGAACTGAATTAATTACCCAGAAGTCCTCTCCATGGCAAGTGGGGAGACAAAGGGGTATAGTTTTCACATTTGCCCTGGGTGGAAAACCTCCCATCATCGTTTAAGAGCAATGAACGCAGAAGCTACATGTATTCAGCATATCTCAGAGTAAGAGTTCTAATCCAGGAGCAGCTACACAAGTTTATGGAATTGGATCTGAAACTGTTCCTGGATCAGCACTCTCTTATGCGTGACCCCTGAGTGCAATTACTAACTTGTTTTTCTCTTACAGCGCCAGTACCACTCTCAAATCGACAATCTTATCGAGGAGACGGTGAAAGAAATGATTACCTTATTGGTGGCAAAGGTACCAGGAAATATCCTCATAATAGTGTATGACTGCCACTTAAAAGAGATCCTGAACAACACCCCATATGTATTTTCGCTTAGTTTGAAAAATGCACCACATTTTTTACACTCATTTTAACGAACATGGTACATTTGTCTCTTTCTACACAGTTTGTGGTGATTCTAGAGAGCGTCCTGGCTAAGCTCTCTCGTTACGATGAGGGCACACTTTTCTCATCCTTCCTGTCATTTACAGTAAGAGCAAAATCTGCCTTGTTTTCCTTCACACAGCTAGGATTTTGTTAACAGACATGTATTACCTTTCATCCACTGTATCACAGCTCACAGACAGCTATCATAGCAGAAGCAAGATAAATTCACAGGTTTAATCTTTTGGGTTTGTTGGTTATGTACAGTACTGTTAGAGATCACCCTTCAGTTATTTAATTTGCAGTCAAAACAGCTGTTAAGCACAGGCTATTAATTTTTCAGTGTCAGGGAAAAAAAGCAGTAAACATATTTAACAAAAAACGACAAAGAAGCTGCAACAACTACATTTTTTTTGCATTTAGTGTGTCCACTCTTTATTACAGCTTCCATTCTTATTGAAAGATCCGCATTCGGTTTCAAAGAGATCGGCAGATCGGAAGTTGGTTGCATTTTCTGCTTCTCACAAAAATCCCAAACACACTAAACAACACTGAGGTCTGGACTCTGTGGCAGCCAGTCCATTGTTCTAAGAACAGCAGCAGCTTTTGTGCTTAATTTGCAAATATACTTCTTTTTTGTCTATTTCCTTTTCTCAGTAAAAGCTTTTTGACAGCTACACAATCCTTTCAGAAACATAACATTGAGCTGTCTTCTCGCAGTGAGTGGATGGATGAACAGAAACACCTGTGTTTTTTTTTTTTAAGTTCTGATGCAACAATGGCGCTTGTTCTCTGAAAGATGAAAGCTTTAAGTACTGTTTATATGATGGTGATAGTTTTGGTTGTCTAGCAGGTCTTACATGGTTGTTAAGTGTTATATTTCCTCTATATTTTTTAGTTTTTTCAACAACAATTCCTGTTTTTATACTTATTACTCTTCTGTTTGTTAGTGGATTATCTCCTTAGGAATATCTAACATTTAATGGCTGTTTTGACCTTTATTTATTGATCATTAAATAAACAAAGGGTGGTCTCAGACTTTTGCACAGTACTCTATTTACAGATTTGTTTAGGTGCATGTATTTTTTATCACATCGCCAGTGATGTAAGTGTGCATCATACAGAAGCTTCATGTATTTGGTACTAAGCTATGATATGAATTTGAGTATCCGTCTGACAATACTGACTGCTTATGTCTTGATAGCACTGTTAACACTAAATCCATAATAAATTTCTTTCTGTTTTGCAGGTCAAAGCTGCCTCAAAATATGTGGATGTTCCCGTGAGTGAGATCTTTTCCTCCCAATGAAAGACCTTTTTTAAATGTGTCTTCATACATGCCAGTCGCCAGTGTCTCGCTATTACAAAGAGCCATCACCAAATAACTATTACAAAACATGTTACACTCCTGAACTTATTCTTATTTGTATTCGTATTTACTTTACTGACTGTTTAAGGGCCAGTTAGTATGGGCTGAGTGTCTGTCAGCAGCAGCGGATTGTACAGATGGCCGTCTCTTACCTCCAAATGGCCATTCATATTCATGTGAGGAGAGCAGGGTGGCCAGCTATGTGGCCCTCTCTCTCCCTCTCTCTCTTTCTCTCTCCTCTAGCAGACAGTGCGATGTGTGTGTTGTGCAACAAAAGCCTGTCGTGAGGCTGCCGCGGGGTCCGACTCGTTACATCCTGCATTCAGTATCACATCACAGAGCTTCCTTTAATTGCCAACACGTCGGGGCGCAAAGCAAGGCTTTGCAAATTAAAGTCCTGTCAATGAACGTCTGATGCTCCCTCGTTTTCTTTCTTTCTCGCTCTCATGCCCTCAGGGCAGAGGGAGGCTTGTGTTTCCATGGTAATTGTTTGCTTAATGCACAAAATAAAATTACGTATGAAAAATTTGCTCATTTGCACCCCTCAAAAGTATCTGGAGAGGTGTGAAGTAAGTTCAATTTGCAGCGACTGACAATTACCAATTCTGATGACCTTCTGATGCCCGCTGGCAGAGTGGGTACATTTAATTTTGCATGGAGACAGAACAAACAAAAAGAGTTCATGGACTCCCAAATGCATTGTCCTCCATTCACTTATCACTGTTTTGATAAGTAATATTTTTCCCATCACACTTGCAAATGTAATTTTTACTACTCTGTTCATTTTTTTCACAGATCATGACAGCTCATTTTAAGCATGCAGAAATATGACTATACTGAATCATTTGAAAAATGAAACACCCTGTTCACTTCTCTCTCTCCGTCTCTCTCTTTCTCTCTGTCTCACAGAAACCTGGCATGGATGTAGCTGATGCCTACGTGACGTTCGTTCGCCACTCTCAGGATGTCTTGCGGGATAAGGTCAATGAGGAGATGTACATAGAAAGATTATTTGATGTAAGTAACTGCTGCTTCCATCTCCTCCTCTGAAAAGGGGGAGGAGGTCCTCCAAAATGTGACATAACGACCAGCTAGGAGGGATAGGTCACATTTTGAGACCTGCTTCTTCTTCTCTCTTCTTTCTCTTTCTTTCTCACTCTCTCTCCCTTGTTACTTCTTTCTAGCTGCCTTTTTTGAGCGGATCCGTCTTTCTTCTCTTGACTGAGTCTGCCCCTCTCCCCTTTTTGCTCTGTTGGCTCTGTTTGCTCTTTAACCCTTTCACTCTTGAAAATGCTGCTGTACTTTTGCTCCTTTCTCTGTTCTGATACTTTGGGGTAAAAAGAAGTGTTCTCTCTAATGGGGACTGGCGAGCAGTAACTTTATTCATCTAGCATTTCATAACGTGCATGCTAATCAAAGACTGTGGATTTTCACATCACATTGTGTATAAAGGCTAGGAAAGAGCCACGGGCTTTAAATTCTTATGTCTGAACCAGCAGACTATTTTTTATACATAACTTAATAACATGCTCTGTATTGACTTCTTAAAATGGCTAAAATGTAATCAAACGACTGCCTGATTAGAGTTTGAGGAAGACATACACTCGTGTGCAAACGTTAAGGTGCCCCTGGTCAAATTACATGTTTCATTGATTTGCTAAGTGAAAATAAATACACACCCTCTACCAAGAACACACCTATACACATTCTGATACACAATTACTGTTTACTTGCTGAATTTAACATAATTTAAGAAAATAATTAAACTTAAAATGTGGCTTGTGCCGAAGTTATTTTCTGTTTTGTTTTTCCAATATACTAAATCAATGAAATAGATTTAAATTTAATTTTTGGCCATAATGTGTTCTATGTACAGGAGGTTTTAACCTATTTTCACCAAACATGTTATTTGACTGGGGATGTTCAAACTCTAGATTAACTTCCCTTCATTTAGAACAGCTTGTGATGTGATCAAAACAAAATGAAAAACAGACATAAACTATAAAGTATATACATAAATAAATAAATAAATAAACTTTAGACAACAGGTCAAGGCTAATGCCCCATTAATTCTCTAGTTAAGAAACTACACTAGGAGAGACAGGGACAGACACTCCAAGCCCAGGGCCAATTATCTTTAGGGCTTAAGTGCAGAGAAAGAAAAGAACGAGGAAAATGAGGAGGGAGGGACAAGGGACAGGAAAGCCACGGAGAACACTGTCTTAGCTGATGGCCACGGCCATCCTCCTGGGCCTAATCCTTTGTGATGCATGTGGAACAGTTTGTTGAGTGCGTGCTGTGGCTGAGGCGTGTTTGTTTTGTGCACTTTAAGACCAGGGCCTGCATTCCCAAAGGATCGCAGAGCAGGAGTGCTGATCTGGGTTCAGGTTTCACCTCCACTCAGACCCATTTGGGTCACTATGACTAAACAAGTGTAACAGATCCAAGAACGGCACTGCTGCTCTAAAGACGGCTCCTGGGATCATATGCATCAAACTGCTCTTACTTCCTTAAGAGTGCTGATCTGGAATCAGATTTTGGATTGCAGCATGTAATATCAGAAGGGATTGATCCTAGATCAGCTCTGTTGATGCATATGGGCCCTTGTGTGAGTAGTTGCTATGAGTCTAAGGCCAGTTTGGGCCTAATGGCTGTGTTTAGTTTCTCACTGCTTTCACTCTGCTGCCTTTGCTGTATGCCCCTGTATGAACGGCCATCTTGCAATGGCACAAATCTCTCTCTTTCTCACTGAAAGTATCTGTGGTGAAATTTTCTTTCTCTCTGTTAAATATGTCTGGCTCTCTGAGAATCTCTCACATTGTCCCCCTTTCTCTTTCTCTTTGTTTTGCTCCAAACAAGCTGTGCTGTTTCTGTCCTAAAACAAAGCCTCCAAATGTGCTTATGTATTGCTCTGTGCGTTTGCATCCTCTGATGTCTCTGACCTGAACACGGGAAGAAAAGAGAAAATATGTCTACCCTGTCTCCCTCCATCCAACTTCTTTCTTCCTTTGTCTCCCTCTCTCGGTACCTCTGTCATTCCACCTCTTGTTTTCTTTTCCTTTTTTTTCTCTTTCAACTTTTCCACCTCCTCTTTACCTCTTTCTCTCCTCTCTCTCTCTCTCTCTCTCTCTCTCTCTCCCTCCGCCTAAATCAAAGTGGAACTTATCCTTCCTGTCGAGTTGTTTTTATCACATTATCTCGAGTGGCATGATTCAGAGTCGACTAATCTTCCTGTGTACATCTACTAGCATGACCTGCCTCCTTGGAGAATTCCCTCATACATGCACTCACAGACATCCAGCCATCCAGCCGGCTCTCCACTCCACCCCTCTCCCCCAGTCCCCCTCCAACCCAAGCAACATCAACCCCAGATGGGCATGCAGGGCACACGTTTGTCCCCCCCTCCCCACCTGCTGAAGTGGCTGGGCCAGCAGAGAGCGTAGCCACCAGGCCAAGCAATCTAAAACCAACTCATGAAAGATGCTTACACACATGCACCAGTGCACACGCACACACATGCACACACACACGTACAGCTTCTAACTGATAAATCATATGAATCATCACCATTTTTCTTGTGTACCACATTCAATATGTTCATTTACATATCAAATCCTCTATAAGACCACACGTCACACACACAGCCATACACAGTATAACGTGCAGTGAAATGCTTATACAACTGTCCTTTGCCATGAAAAACAGAATATACAACAGAAAAAATAAGATAGAATATACACGAAAGGGAAGAAGAATTATGAATTCATATTAATTATTAATTACTCATGAACAAAAATCATATAAATCTGTGATCGATTTAAATAGAAACTGACACAGAATCGTACGCCCACTACATACCCCTCTTTTTCTTTCCACAAACATACGTTTGTGTCCTATGTTTTCATTCTCCACTTTTGCTTTACTTCAAGGCAAGAGTCTCAAACACTCAAATTACCTGGGGCCCACTAGCCAGGTGGTCTTCTCCATGCTGAAAAAATGCAGTGAAAAAGTGCCCCATGTATTTTTTACAAGTATAAAATTTAACTTCATAGCATATACACTCCCATCGCAAAAAAAAAAGCCCTGATAGTAAGTCTTAAGTAAGTAGTAAGCTTTTAATAGTCAACAACAATTAGTCAGTAAATTAGCAAGATTTAAACAAATAAATAATTTAGTATGGGATAGCTTTTCCCTGTGATATCTTTAAATGTTGAAGTCTTGTGGTTAAACTTGCAGACAGCCTTTTACAAGAAAAAGAGTCAATATTGTTCCATTCAGCACTAATGGTTTCCAACCGTTAATATTTTGGGCTGGCCCTTCTGGCAAGGGAGTGTACACTCATTTAAGCACATATTAGTCAATGCTTATTAGCAATGCTTGTCCACAAACCACACTACTACATCATTGCTACAACTATTAAGTAATAATAACAGTAAAAACAATGAGCAGTACCAGTATAAACATAGTGTTCAATTAAATCAATAAATTTACATTTAACATTAGATTTATTAAGACTAGCATTGTGATAGCATTGACATTCCCGCTGAACACAAGTGAAGTTACTGTGAGTAAGGTGTTGGCAGAATGAACAATGAACTTCTGCATTCTTAGTGCTTTCATTTAGTAATTCCATTTATTTCCTAAATATCACAATGTATCTACCACTTCATGAAGGGATCTGTCTGTTAGTCACATCAAAGTTGATTTTATACAGTTTATGTTAGATAACCAGCTACAGTATCTGGCAGGTAATGCAAATTTACCCATCAAATATTTAGCCACTGAAAAATGGAAAAAAAAAACAGACAGGACAGATTTAGAGATAAATTATAAATAGGTGACAGGCCGTATGAAGCTGTGTCTGGTAGTTTGAGACCTCTGATCTAAGGCAAATACTTTTGTTGTGAGTTCGTCTAAAATCAGATATAGATAAGATTCATAAATGTTCCACAGTGTGACAAATATTTCCTTATAGAATCAAACATTGGAGTTTCAATAACCATATAACCCTGGCTGCTCGACAAAGAGTTAGGTATAGGAAATGAATCAACATTCTTATTTTACATTGTTTTCTAGCAAATGTTAAAAGACTGTGCAGTGTCTACATTTTATAGCCACTCTTTTAACTCTTGTACTGATGTTTAAAAAGACAGAACATTGTATTTAATTTCTGAACTACTTCATTCTAACTTTATTTCTGGAAACTGAAGCAGCTTTGTTCAGTTTGTTTGGAGCTTTGATGCTCTGGTTCCCATTTGACTTTAGGCTTTTTTCAAATTCTGAGCTAATCTCCCGAGCCCCGGCCTGTGCAGGAGGGTCTGATCTAACTGGGTTTAGAGATCTAACTGGACGCCATAATGAAGCATCCGTTGAGTGTGTTAGGCTGAGGTTAATTGGGGTCAAGAATGAGGATTTCTCGCTAGCAGAGAGAACACAATAAGATTACACTCAAATGATGTCCTTTCTGCGCTTTCATAACAGTATTTGTCTAAAACGACCATTTGGGTATAACTATTGAAAACAACGACAGCAGGGTATGAAAAAAAAACATTGTTCTGATGAACAGGCACTGGTAGCAGTTACTAGACATAACACAAAAATCAGGACTGTTTATGGATCACTGTTGTTTCATCTACTATAATCTAAGAGTATGTTTGAAACATGTTCATAAATTCCTGCTCTGTTGTGGAACTGTCTGCTGCTTCGTTTTCTAGTCCCAGTGAGATGAGCTATTTTAACAACGCTAGTCTTCCACAACCCAGGTTTGTCCAAGACCAGCCTGAACTGCATGGTGATTTTTATCAAATTCTGTTTCAGAGCCCATGCACCTACAAGGCTGAATGTGGAAATGGGAAGTTATTGATGGCTTTGGTCCTGTTGATTTCACAGAGGAACAATTTTGCCTGCACCAGCCTCCAAATCACATGCCAGTGGATGGCTAAGTTTGTTAAGTTGAGGGTGCAGAGAGAGAAAGAGATACAGACAGAAGAATACAGAGAATAAGAGAGGGCAGGGGA